TGGCGTAGCTATGGGAGGGTTGGTGGGGCGGCCGCCCCGTGCGCCAACCCCAAGGGGGCGCCTAAATGGGTAGAAAAATTAATTTAAAAGCTCGTTTCATGCTGAAATATCGAATTATACACAATCAAATTTACGAAAATAAACGACTACAAAGTTTTACACTGAAAATGTTAAGGGATAGTAACTGGTAAGAAGCGCCACACACATTTTTAACGAGGGAGGGGGGCGCTTTTACACAGACAGGAATGTATAGAAATTGGAGGGGGGGGGGGCGAAAAAATTGATAGTCCGCTCCAGGCGCCTGATTAGGTCGCTACGGCTCTGAGATGAATCAGGGTTATAGTGTTGTTATAAAAAAGACGAATAAACCTTCTTTAGGATTTGTAGAAAAAAACATTAACACATATGGCGCAGAATGGGATGGCCTTTCCACCTGATTCTGGCGCTGCCAGGATTCGAACCCCCAGACTCTGGCTAATGGGCCAGAGTGGTTGTTAAGTTCACTAAACTGTACGTGAGTGTTAGCGTGAGCTGCAGTTTTTAACGTCTCGTCACTGAAACAAGCGTCACTGAAACAAGCGTCACTAAAACAAGAGTCACTGATACAAGCGTCACTGATACAAGCGTCACTGAAACAAGCGTCACTAAAACAAGAGTCACTGAGTCGAGCGTCACTAAAACAAGAGTCACTGAAACAAGCGTCATTGACGCTGATTTCTCTCCGTGGGAGTCACCAATCAGCTGGCTGTATTTACCGTGTCAACAAACCTTTCCCCAGCGAACGTAAAATTTCCGGTTCGTATTTTACATCCCGTCACCTACAAAGGTGTTTGGGGATCAAGCACGTTCTCGTTAATTACATCAGACCGCTGATCGTGCCACGGGTTTTGATTGGCTCATACAAGGGGAGGTAACATTCACGCTTTTTTAAACTGTAAGAAAGATTGCAGATCTATAAATTACTAGCTGAGGTTACTTTCAAACATTTTTCCAAGGGAAGTAGTGTGTATTTGAAACTTCCGGAGGGGGGGGGGGAATTATTGTTATGGTATACATTTTCTATATAAATGTAATATTTGTTTCTTTTTCGTTCGGGGAAGAAGGGGGTAGGGGTGTTGGAAAGGGGGGGGGGGGCGGAGGGGTACGTGACAGAAATATTTTTTATCCACAATATCAATCCCTTTGAGTTTTTTAATTATAATAAAACGGGAATAATCTACCCTAAATTTCTCGAATCTTATATAACACTACAGGGGATGGGAACTCAGGATATAGACATGATTTTTAATCTATTTTTAATTGCTTAAACTTTTAAAAATGGAATAGAATCTCGTAGAAAAAAGAATTGCGCACCAAGTGAACAGCAAACAATCTGTGTTTAATAGTTGGGAATAGTACTTTGCAAATTCTTATGCGTTTTTTCCCCCGGTCAACGCAAATTACTCAAAATTTGACAGAAGGCAGAAAAAATTAGATCTTTTACTTATATGTGAAATTTTGTAGAATAAAAGTAGAATAAGTCCCGCTTTCGGTTATCAGAAATCGCTGAAAAGTTGACACAGAACTACAAATTTGATATAATACTTATATATGAAATTTCATCAACCTCGCTGTAAGGGTACTCAAGTTATCGTGTTGACATATATACACACATACATACACACATACACACACACAGACATACGATTCAGGGAGGTGTAGAACGTCGCTGTAGGTTTATGTTACACCCTGTGTGCTGTAGGTTTATATTTACATCCTGGGTGCTGTAGGTTTATGTTTAAATCCTGGGTGTTACAGGTTTATGTTTACATCTTTGGTGCTGTAGGTTTATGTTTACATCTTTGGTGCTGTAGGTTTATGTTTACATCCTGGGTGCTGTAGGTTTATGTTTACATCCTTGGTGCTGTAGGTTTATGTTTAAATCCTGGGTGTTACAGGTTTATGTTTACATCCTTGGTGCTGTAGATTTATGTTTACACCCCGCGTGCTGTAGGTTTATGCTCTGGGTGCTGTAGGTTTATGTTTACATCCTGGGTGCTGTAGGTTTATGTTTACATCCTTGGTGCTGTAGGTTTATGCTCTGGGTGCTGTAGGTTTATGTTAACGATCTACATGACAGAAGTGTCAAAGTTTATTAGCTGTTTCCCTCATTGTGGGATTTTACGACGCAAGAAAGAGAAAGATCAGGTTATAGAGCCACTTCCTTGTGTGTTTTTAGCAATCAGTAGGTGTGTCTGGTACACTCTTTTTGGTCTTAAGGACGCTCATAAAGCTGTTTAGACAGTGGTTCTTAACCTGGGTTCGATCGAACCCCAGGGGTTCGGTGAGTCCGTCTTAGTGGTTCTGCGGAGGTCAAGACACATTTTTTTCTCATGTGATTCATTTTCGGATTGTGCTAGCGTGGACGATAAAACTACGAGAAGGGTTCGGTGAATGGGTATGGGAAACTGGTGGGGTACATCCAAAAAGGTTAAGAACCACTGTCTTAAGGACACATCATCCACATCATCTAGGTCTAGACTCTAGAACAAACATACTAGGACTCACCTGTTAGTCGTATTGCCATATTCAGATAGCGATAGCCATGTGTGGGTTAGGGCTAGGTTTAAGATTAGGATAAAGCGATAGAAGTAGAGAAAGCGTGGTTCAGCGATAGAACCTAGGATTGTTAACTCGTATGTAACAGGTTCGGTTCTCGGGACGTCCATGAGACCACCCGGCCGTGATGGGAATCTGACCTGAGGCTGGGGGAAGTCTACGGTTGAACTCTACATCTGATCACACGATCACCTGCATTTGACGTCGAAACAAAACTCTACTTCACCTGCAGCCATCGCCAGATGTAAAAACGTGGTGTGTCATTGTATAGTGTTTATGGTTAAGAACCCAGGCGGGACAAATCAGTTTCATATTGCATTAATTAGTTAATTAATATTCCACCGCTGTTAGGGGTTCAATCAAGATTATGGTCATAACAAAAAATTAATAGTGAAATCATCGAACAGTTGTTTTTATACTTTAGTCTCGTTAGGGTTGGCGAATCCCACACGAAGATAAGTTAGGTGTAATCAGTTAGAACAATGGGTTTTGTAATCAGTTGATAAGTTAGATTTTTAATTAAAAACGAGTTCTGTAATCAGTTATAGTAGGAACAATGTGGTTTGTAGTAAGCTATATAAAGAACTATGGGTATTGTGATATAACAGATTATGTTATAAGCCACAATGGGTTTTGTCAAATATGCTATGAGGAACAATGGGTATTGTCAATGAGCCGATTATGCTAATATTTCAAAAATATGCAAATCAGCGTGGGAAACAAGTCAACCATCAATCTGGCTGGTAATTATCACGTCACTTTCTAGGATTAAATTGGATGGGCGAGGGCTGGGGTGAGAAAGGTGGGTGGGGGTGTACCTAATCCAGCAAAGAGTGACGTCACCGCGATAAGTTTAATGAAGTGACCGTGCAAATAGCCATGGGAAGGGAGATAAGAACTGGGACTCTACATTGGGCCCGGGTTACAGCGAGTCGAGATACAGGCTGGGCCGTGACGAATTTATCGTTGACCATGTACTGGTGGTTCAGGTGTCAGGAACAACAACTCTGTTTGCAAGAGTTTCTCGTCGCGCGCTTTCCTCGCGATGTGGTCAAAGACAGCCTAATAATAACTCAAATTATGACATGCTTTACACAAGAGCCTATACTTCTACAAATATACATTATATATTGTTTAATCAACGTATTGACTATTCCATTATCTCCCTTTAAAAACGTCAAACTGTGCTATAGAATATAGATGTTAAGATTTTTTATACATTCATGGGCATCATTTATTTGACTGATCGCTGCTTACTAGTTATTTTCCTTAATTTTATTTTATTTTGTATTCCTTATTTTTAATTTTTAGTTAGTTTTAAATTTCCCATCTCATAAGATTGATATTTATATATCATTATCATTGGACATATTATGAAATATAAGCAAAGTTTGAAAGATATCACTCAATTAAAAAAAAAAATTCTAAATTAAGTCTCAAGATTACAACCTAAACCAACTACTTATATACATAGTGACATTAAAGAAAAATCTGGTAAGAACAGTCTTTTTTTTTCTATTTCACAAAATGAAGGGTATTACGGTAAACATAACCGCCTGCGGAGTGATTGCCGGTTACGTAAATCATGTCTGGCCAGGTACATGCCGGCAGTAACGGTCGATAGCCGCTAAATCCCATTGGCTGAGCCGTGAAGCAGCCGACAAGTGAGTACGAGGGTGGGCGATGCTTTGATCTTCCGGTATCGTTAAAAACTTTCTTTGGGGAATTAAGACCTCGAAATCATCAAGATCCTTTGTATAAAGCTCTAGGCCCTATCGGATTCTAAAGGTTTTCAATGCAAATTCGTAAACGTTATTTGAATCTTTGGTGGAGTTGTTTGTTTCGGGCGATCACATTTTTTAATTTGAGTTCACTTTGTGCGGTCAAAAGTTAATTTCACTGCGGAGTTTGTTTTATACATTTTTTTTGCAACTTTGATTAAGTTGTAGCTTTTTCAACCCTGTGGGTATTTAATTTTTCCCTCCTTTGTATCACACGTTAATAGCTGTTTGAAAAGCTACTAGTTTTTTATTTGCACTATCTTTTTATATGGGTAGAAAAAGTTATATTGCTTTTTGGATTTATGAAATATTTAGGCATGTCGGTTTAGTTATATTTTAAACTTTGTTGTGATAACATTGTGCATTTTAAAAAGAAAGATTTATAATTCGTGAAGCTTGTGTTTGGATTGTAATCTAAAGTGTTACAAGATTCTATCAAATAAATGAGATCTTTTGGAAATACCAACTCTTAGCAATAGGACTTTACATTTAGAAAAATTATGTTGGCCTAAATATTAATGAAATAAACTAATTCGCGGAGTAATTAATTGCTGAAAATAAAAATACTGGTGTTACTTTGGAAGGATTATAAAAATAGATTTGGACCCCGGATTAAAAAAAAAAAAACATGGATGCGAAATCTACAGAAAAGAAACCTCAGAAAACTAAAGCTCCGCCTCATAAAAAAACTGGCAAAAATAATTCTAAGAAAAAGTCCCAAACGAGACCAGATTCGTCTGGTAACAGGTCGGATTCGTCCCGCCATATGACGTCACCAGCTGATGACCTTGAACCCCACCGATTAGAAGACCAGACGAATAAAGATGAAAACAATGACGATAATAGAGATGAAACATACGAGGATAACAGCGATAGTGTACACAACGAAAACAACGATGACAAAAAAGAAGCCAGTGATAACGATCACGATGACACTGGCGACGACGAGAAGAACAATAACGACGATGACGACGAAATATTCTTTGACGATCCGATACTTTCCAGAGAATTCGAAACCAGATCGGGAGCGCCATACAACGGATACTACGGAGCAGACGCCGCCAATCCTGGCTTGTCAACAAGACAGGCCAAAATAATAAAAGATATTTTGGCCAACTTTGACCTCGAAAAAGTCATGGATAGGTACCGGGGTGAAACTGTGTATAGAAGGTATTTACTCTCTTCAAATAGATTTCACTAAATAAGGTATTTACTTTCTTCAAATAGATTTCACTAAATAAGGTCTTTATCTTACTAAAACATACCCTCGCAATGATACTGTATTACAGAATCTATGGGTATTTTTAATATATCAAGCTATTTATATAACAAACCCCGGATGTAGTAATTCCAAGCTTTAAGTAAAGAAATTGAATTAATGTCGTCTTTTCTAACCACTGTGAGCAAAGGGCAGTAGCCCTCCGTCCCTACAACATTCCAGTATCTTTAGATATGATATTTATTTTTGAGGTAGAAGCTAATTTGCTCAACATATGGGCCATACATTCGTATTGTATGGGCTGTACATCCACAAGGTTTGGCTTACTACACATACGAGTGGCAAACTATTTCCGACATCATATTTCAGAAACAGCGCAGCACATAATTTAAACCACACAACTAGGCGATCTCTGTGCGGAAAAGAAAGATCAGGACATAACCTACCTATTTTATCCTGGTGTGTGTGTATGTGTGTGTTTGTGTGTGTTTGATACTTCAGTCATTATTGAGGGTATTGTGTTGCTATGTCTGAGGAGGTGTTTCATTTAGAAATATATCCTGGGGGGGGGGGGGGCACCTGGAGCATGTCCATCCCCTCCCATACCAGTTTCAAATGCCCCCCCCCCCCCTCTGTAAGATCCCCACTATCTCTGTTTCTTTTAGACATATATACTGAGGGATTTGGTAGTGCCCCCCCCCCCCCCCCTGGAGCATGTCCATCCCCTCCCATAAAAAGTTTCAATGACCCCCCCCTCCTGTAAGAACCCCAGTATGTCTATGGTGTTGACGTGGTTTTGATGTGGATAACTGTGTTCGGTTATTAGAAATAACAAGCCGGGTGACAGCTGTATTCAACATGACGTATCGTTATTATGGCAAGACTCTCCGATTGTTTTCCTTATAACACACGTGTTAAATTTGTTTGAGTGAATTTCATTGGCACATATTTTAAAATAGGACCTTGTTTATGTTGGCTAGAAATAACCTCCAATCAGAATACAACAACAAACACGACTAGCCACAACTAAAGTATAGCTAGCAAGAGCTTCAGAGGGGAAATAACTCCCATTTGATTAATAAATCACAACATCCTATCATAAGTTCATTACAGCCGTGGTTTTCATCTAAATTGAGGTGAATGAAGATTAGGTTAGTTGAGTAATGGTCTAAGGATCATAACGGACGTCATACCTGTTGCTAACCTGAAAGTCCCGAGTTCGAACCCTCGGGCAGATGAAGCTCGTTAGCTTGGGACAGCAACCCATCTAATCTAGGATAGAAAACTACGAAATCATACAGCAGTGGAGCCCCTTAGACGATTGTATTACCAACTCAGCTGTGTGGAGAGAGAGATAGGGGGGTCATGATACAGGGGCAAAATCTGGACTCATCTTATCTTACCGCCCCTGTCTCTGTGCTTGTATTTTCCAATGCGCAATCCCCCGGTAAGTATAGGTCACTAACCAGTTCTAAGGCTCAATAAAACATGTAAGAGCCGTAGAACTGATTGGTAACCTACTTACCAGCCCTATACTAGACTTTGGAGCCATAATATATTATTACAAGTGGATGTGGAGTCTTTGGTGACGATGTGTGACGATGGAGGGAAAACGACTCCCCCCCCCCCCCCCCTCAGCATCTTTATGGATAAATGACATTCATTTTTTTTAATAGGCTTTCTGAAAAACGTGGAAGCTAAAGACAAAGTGGTCCTATTTCAACATGAAAATATTTCATAATCTGTTTTTATCGTTTTTCCCCTCTTCAGTTTGAACAAACGAAATCGCCGAGTGTGGCTGGAGGGTATGATGGGAAACGAGAAGGTTCCGTTTAACGACCGGAAGTGGAATGAAAGCGTTCAAGCAGAAAGTCATGAACGATCTCGAGGTAATGAAGAAATCATCTTGTTTTGTTTTTTGTAAATCAGTTTTTGGTTTCGGTGAGGAAATGGGTATCTTTGATGTGTTCAGTGGGCGTCGCAAGGTGGGTGTAGGCAGGCGAGTGTGGTGCGCACCGGGTGACACCATTAGAGTGTGACGCCATGTCGAGAATCAATGCTTCATACAGTTAAAATAATAAAATAGTACGAGGAGAAGGGTGACACCAAACCGAAAAACAGCCCCTGACATACAAATATAATCCGAGAGTGATCTGCTTCTTTAATCACGTGACAGGGTTCGGCGTGGGTCGAGTCGGTAAAGCTCATGGTTGCTAAACCGAAAAGTCTCGAGTTCGAACCCTCGGGCAGATGAGGCTCGTTAGCTGGGGAGAGACAACTCCAAAATCAAACAACTGCTGCCTTGTAGTTTGAGTTTTGTTCTTGGTTGGACAAAGGCTATGGAAGCAAATCCAAAAAGAAAAGCAGGCTGAAGTCGGAGTCAATGGCCTCAATGGCGCATAACTAGTTGACACGTAACGCTTAATTGTGTTGGAGGCGTGGTCGAGTCGGCAAAAAGCTCATGGTTGATAAATTCGAACAAAGTCTCGAGTTCAAACCCACTGGCAGATAAATCTCGATCCCCCTTCAACACTAATAATTAAGAACGAAGAAGAAGAAGAAGAAAGAATCACGTGACCCTCTCTCCCTCCCCCCCCCTTCCCAGAGACAACAGGACGAGAGGGAGAGGAGGCTGGCAGACGCCGAGACACAGAGGATTCTCAAGCTGAAGCTGCAGGGTGTCATCAAGGACGAGGAGCAGACGGACAGGGGGGTTCAACCATAATAGACAGGTAATGTAGGCAGGGGGGTTCAACCACAACAGACAGGTAATGTAGGCAGGGGGTTCAACCACAACAGACAGGTAATGTAGGCAGGGGGTTCAACCACAACAGACAGGTAATGTAGGCAGGGGGTTCAACCACAACAGACAGGTAATGTAGGCAGGGGGTTCAACCACAACAGGACAGGTAATGTAGGCAGGGGGGTTTCAACCACAACAGACAGGTAATGTAGGCAGGGGGGTTCAACCACAACAGACAGGTAATGTAGGCAGGGGGTTCAACCACAACAGACAGGTAATGTAGGCAGGGGGTTCAACCACAACAGACAGGTAATGTAGGCAGGGGGTTCAACCACAACAGACAGGTAATGTAGGCAGGGGGACAACCAGACAGGTAATGTAGGCAGGGGGGACAACCAGACAGGTAATGTAGGCAGGGGGACAACCAGACAGGTAATGTAGGCAGGGGGTTCAACCATAATAGACAGGTAAATGTAGGCAGACAGGGGGTTCAACCACAACAGACAGGTAATGTAGGCAGACAGGGGGTTCAACCATAATAGACAGGTAATGTAGGCAGGGGGTTCAACCCACAACAGACAGGTAATGTAGACAGGGGAGGGGGGGACAACCAGACAGGTAATGTAGGCAGGGGGGGACAACCACAACAGACAGGTAATGTAGGCAGGGGGGACAACCAGACAGGTAATGTAGGCAGGGGGTTCAACCACAACAGACAGGTAATGTAGGCAGGGGGGGGGGGACAACCAGACAGGTAATGTAGGCAGGGGGGACAACCAGACAGGTAATGTAGGCAGGGGGTTCAACCACAACAGACAGGTATTGTAGGCGGGGGTGGGGGTTCAACCACAACAGACAGGTAATGTAGGCAGGGGGGGGGGACAACCAGACAGGTAATGTAGGCAGGGGGGGGGGGACAACCAGACAGGTAATGTAGGCAGACAGGGCGGACAACCACAATAGACAAGTCAAACACCTGCTCATGACAGGCATCCAAATTGCACCTGGCATAAAACTGTGTTACATATTACAGAACATACAGCCGCAAATGACAAATAGCCATGTAGGCCTACCACCCTTCTACATATCACTGTTAACCAAATGCCACATGACTTTCACTCCTTAGATATGGGACAACACACACTGCATTGCTCTATGTACTCGGTGCTATTTATTACACATACTCTTAAATATCTTTTTTTTTCTTAATTTCCTTTTTAGAGCGTGTCAGAAAGAAAATTTGAGAGAAGAAAAGCCAAAAAAACACGAGTCTCTGTTTTAAACCAACGGTAAGTTATTAGTTAGTGTTTGGTGAATATGTAGAAACATTGTGACTGTAAAGTACAGACTAGCAGTAGCCTGAAACGTAGACATTACCAGAGTTTCTTTCAGGCATCTCTTCGGGCGACACCCACTCTCTTAAAGCAAATCTACCCCAGCTCCGAAAAAAAGTAGAAGAAACAAAATATAACTTACATAGAAAATATATACGTTTACCAGTGGCATCACCGCCCCCCCCCTCCCGAAAGCACGTTTGCTGCTCTTCCCCGAACGAATTATAAGGTAAATGTATCTTTTACCATTCTCTCCCTCCCCCCCCCCCCCCCCTCCGAATTTTTACATGACCCCATTTTTTCTCATGAATCTCCCTAATGTTACTACCACACTAACCAAAATCATACCAATACCAATTCAAATCATACCAATACACGTCATTATGTGCCACCAAACCAGGCACATCTGCCTTGTTCAGTACGTAGCTTTGTTAGCCAGGGGGAACTAACCGCCGCAGTACATTAGCCAGGGGAACTAACCGCCGCAGTACATAAGCCAGGGGAACTAACCGCCGCAGTACATTAGCCAGGGGAGCTAACCGCCGCAGTACATAACCCAGGGGAACTAACCGCCGCAGTACATAACCCAGGGGAGCTAACCGCCGCAGTACATTAGCCAGGGGAACTAACCGTCGCAGTACATAAGCCAGGGGAACTAACCGCCGCAGTACATTAGCCAGGGGAACTAACCACCGCAGTACATAAGACAGGGGAACAAACCGCCGCAGTACATTAGCCAGGGGAATTAACCACCGCAGTACATAAGCCAGGGGAACTAACCGCCGCAGTACATAACCCAGGGGAGCTAACCGCCGCAGTTATTAAGCCAGGGGAGCTAACCGCCGCAGTACATAAGCCAGGGGTGCTAATCGCCGCAGTACATTGGCCAGGGGAACTAATCGCCGCAGTACATAAGCCAGGGGAACTAACCGCCGCAATACATAAGCCAGGGGAACTAACCGCCGCAGTACATAAGCCAGGGGGAACTAACCGCCGCAATACATAAGCCAGGGGAACTAACCGCCGTAATACATAAGCCAGGGGAACTAACCGCCGCAGTACATAAGCCAGGGGAACTAACCGCTGCAGTACATTAGCCAGGGGAACTAACCGCGTAAATTTCAAGTTGTTAAAATTTCTTGTCTGAGTAGGAGGACATAGAGAGTCAGATGGAGATACTACATCGTGACGAGAGTGACGTCAGAGGGAGACACAAACCAGCCAGCGAGAACGGTGACGACGAAGAGAACGGAAACAGCGACGAGAACGGAAATGACGACATCCCAGTAAGAATGCATGACATAGTTTAGTTAATTGTGTATTTCATTTAATAGTAGTTCTCTTTTTAACCAAAATATTATTGTATACTTTGTGGTTTAAAGTAGGGCCGGTAATAATTGCTCATTGTCAAGCAAATTAATTTAGAACCTTTAACTTACTCTAGTCTTTAGGTATGAAAGGGGGTCGTCCATAAATGACGTCACATTTGTAGGGGGAGGGGGGGTCCGTAATTTTGTGACGATGTGTGATGAGGGGAGGTGGGGGGGGGGGGGGTTCTGATGGTGCGACATCACACTTTTGCATTATAAAAAAAGCAATGTTAGATAACGAATTTTAGACGTTATTTTGTGTTTTAGAAAACGGTTTTAATAAATTGTAATAGGAATTGATTAAAATACTCTATTTTGACAGAGTTTAGACATGATTTTGGTAAAATATCGATGTTTAAAGAAAAAACTCAACTGCAATTTTGAGGGGGGGGGGGGGTTGTAGGCTGAGGTGTGACGTCATTTTAGGGGGGGGGGGGTCCTGGCTTTTTGTGACGTGGGGAGAAGGTAAAAATCGTCCAAAAAAAGAGTGACGTCATTTATGGATGACCCCAAGTGTGAGATCAAACTTTGCATTTGCATTTTAAAAATTAATTTTTTAAACATCATTTTTAAAAGTAATTTCGAAGTTTATTATTAGAAATTTTGTAAATTATAATTACAAAAAAAAAATAGACCATTGCAACTTAATATAATAAAATCTCCAATATTTGAGGCACAACCAACCTAGCTAGTAAACGGTGGGCCTACCTGTTTCTCGTTTAAGTGTGATGTCATTTTGTGGGGAGGGGTCTGATTTTTTTAATGACGAGTTTCAATGGGGGTAAAAATAGTAAAAAAAACTACACCTTTTATGGATGACTTCTACAAATAACCGGAATTAGTTTTATTACGCAATCTACCATAAAAAACAATTTTTGTTAATGCCTCCACCAAGCAAGTTAACAATTTTAACACAACCACCATCTTACAACACTGAACTGAAATTGTTTCCTTATGCGCAGACGTACAAGAGTGAACTAGGTCGCACATGCGTAGAGAAACCGTTGGAGGTCCACCCTGACCTGGAGAAGCTGTACAAGGAGGAGGTGAGTCACGTGATCTACTCAGCTCTTTCTAAAATTTTGTAGTCACTGGTTCAACAGGCTGGTTACTTCAAATTCCATCTTTGTATTAGATTTTAATTGAAGTTTTAACTAATTTTTTTTTGTTACTCAAGGACCTGAAACAGTTGTACATGGAGGCTGAATGCCTAGTACACCTGCCACCCGCACGACACAAGAAGTAAAGAATGACAAGCTGCTAGACACCTTACACCGCAATTTAACAAGCAACTGTGATAAACACTATCATTTCTACTTAATTTTGTCGTTTTTGTAATGACATACATTGTTTTATTGTTGATGAATACTTATATTTTTTAGTTTTCGATGTTGAAGTTTTATAAATACCCAAGAAATGTTTTCTTTTGGGATTTGGTGTAGATTTGTTTAACTTGTATGTTTAACAGACAAATTATTTTTATATAAAAAAATTACCGTCTTTCTATAAAGTTATAAATCAAGTGTAAAGAACACTTCTATGATTCTCGTATATGGCTAAAGATCTTTCGAAAAATATAGTCCATGTTAATTTAAAATCTTACATTTTTGTGCAAGTACCTTTTAAAATTATTTTTGTACATTGAAAATAAATTCTGATAACATTTTTAGTTTTTTTGTTTATGTTAAATGTAATAAATATTTTCTCATCCGCCAGTGGACATATTCACATAAGAAATGTTGTACGGCTTTAAAAAACAAGCAACACACTTGTGAGATATTTACACTTTAATACCAGAGAAGAAAATTTACTCCATGTCCACATCCTCCCACCCCTCCTCTTCCTGAAACATTTTCCCTTCACTGCCTCCAGCCTGCTCCGCTGTTTTCTTTTTGTGTTTCTTCCCTCCTCGCTTCTTCTTTCTTGATGATGAGGACGATGATGGTAGAGCTGGAGGTGTAATCTGTGTGCCAGTGACTGCCTCTTCTCCAGCATCCTGCATTACCTCATCCTCTGGCTTTAAATCTGATCTGGACGTTTTCTCTGCGGCCTCAACTGGAAGACAAGAAAATTTATACGACTTCAGTGTATTTAATTTAAGTCCCCTATGAATCCTGAGAAAATAATAGGTTTCATCTGGATTTTTTTAACGGGAAATTAAGATGAAAAAGTTTCTTTACAATGGTTTAGACTGTTTTAGGTCCTCTATGAATCCTAATGAAAAAATAGTTAAATCTGATCTAAATTGTTTATCTGTGGCCTCAACTGGAAGTTAAGACAAGAAAATGAACACTTGTTTGGAGAGTTTAAAGTCCCCTATGTATCCTGACGAAGCAACAGTTACCAAAAACCAAGGTTAAACAAGTTGTTATACTTATGACCCTGTTAAATCTGCAGGATGTAACTACAACACACAAGTGATCTAAAATTAGCAGGTTTTCAAAAATATTTTTTAAATAGTATAAAGTAAATACAGAAAACTGTCAATAGTTCATAGTGAATAGATGGTTTCTTGTGTACGTCTTTCCCCCCATCCCAAAAAAAAAGAAGACTACGATTTTGTTAGTAGTAGATTGATACTGCTTTTAACATAAGGAAAATAAAATAATTTACACAAGCACAAAAAAAAGTTGTTTAAAATCACTTACTCTCCATCTGTGATTTTTCTCTAATTCGATGCCCCAGTCTTTTTGTCAGTCTCCTAAACTTCTTGCCAGAGATTTTTATGTTGTTTTTAGGATTTTTCCTGAAATCATTATTCAAAAAGCAGAAGTTATGTTTAAAATTTCCATTGACGTACTAGTACACTTAATTAAATATAACTATGACCAAAAAAAACAGTCTTTACTTACAATTTATTTTTTAATTTTTCTTTGCTAAACAAATGGATATTGTCTATGTCTAGTGATGCAGCTGGAAGATTTTTCTTCTTTTCTGCTTTGCACTGTCTTTGCCATCTAGTTGACTTTTGGCTTTTGAACTGGAAAAAAAAGATAACATGGTTGATACTTATGTACGTCCATGTTGTCAAGCATGGCCCGGTATTACCTCTTTTTTCCCTAATGAAGTAGGACCCTATTATGCTTTTTTAAAGAGGGATCATATGAATCCAAAGACATAAATTTCAATAGTGTCAGCTACAAAAGTAAACAGAATAATTTCCTTTAAATATTTTCATATAATAGGTTTCCCACCTTTGACTATTTTTCACACAAACCAAATGTTTTAAATTAACTTATACTCACTGCTTTCTTGTTATTGTTTTGTAAACCTATAATTCCCATTTCTGTGTTGCTTGAAAAAACTGTTCAAATAAACTCTTGCTCCCTGTTGACATAAGAGATATCAAAAGATTATGAGTGGCATATTATTAAGTACGAGCCGACCCGCTGCGTATCATACGCCTCTATTTAGTTGTTTTATTTTCTACTTTTCAGTAATTCATAATTTGTGAATTCGACAGTACCAATGCTGCCACTGAAAATATTTGCTTTAAAACACTATCAGTAGCTCGTTAAAGACGATACCCCCCTCCTTTCCCCAACCCCTCCCCCCCCCAGTGAAAGCAAACTTCTCTTAGTTACCTCCCCTAAGTTTAAAATCGTTTCAAACTAAATTATCTGCCCCTAATAGCCGTCACTAAACCCACAGCTCACCAGACCATGTAGGGGTGGGCGTGGTAGGGAGCGCGCTTACAGCTTGTTTTCTAACGTCTCCAAGAAGAGAATTATATATATATATATATAGATATATATATATAGATATTTTTGGCAACATATAGTTCAAAACTTTGTATATAATTTGAAGCTATTGGTATTATAAAAATTAGAATACCATATTGGCATATTTTAAATGAACTAGATTTAGATTCTACTTCTAAGACCATCAAATTTAGTGTTAGATAAACAGATGGGTGGAACACTTTGAGGAACTAAATAGACCAGTACCTCTGAACCCACCAGACATAGACCCAGCTGAAGTAGATCTCCCTATTAACTGCGAGAAGCCAACTAGAGAGGAGGGTACTCTTGAACAGGATGAGGAATGTCCTTGATCCAGAGGTAAGAGATGAGCAAACCGGATATCAAAACAATAGATCCTGCACAGATCGCAACACTCTGCATCATAATTGAGCAGTCAATAGAGTGGAATTCACCACTGTATGTTAATTTAATTGATTATGAAAAAGCTTCTGACAGAAAAGCACCTGTCAATAGGACATTGAGGTTGAAACCACAAAGATGAGCTTCAACTGGAGACAGTTGAGAAAATCTCACAGCGCAGAGGGCTCTTTGCAGGGGTGAGAGGCAGTTATAATGGTTAAAAAAATGATCAGAAGTAGGTCTGTTTTCAGTTTGAAGGGGGGAGGGGGGGGAGGGAAAGAAAGAGAAGTGAAGATGATCTCATCATTCTATGATGTATGCTATAGGCCTGCTCAGCTCACAGTAACCCCATCGACCATGGTTGGATTTTCGCACGCTGGCTAGAAAACGTAAGCAAGCAATCACGCGATACTTTTTTTTAGAATGCTTCCTACGGAATTCAAATAATACTTGAAACGCTCTGCGATCTGTTCAGTCACTTTGTTTATATTAGGTCTAAGTAGAAACTCAAGATTATTCTAGATTCTAGTAAGAAACTACTTATTCTACAATACTATATGCCTGATTAAAAAAAAATACACTAATAATAATATTAGGTCTATAGGCTTAACCTATTAATTATAATAAACAGCTAGAGCTAAAATATTAAGAATTAGTCCTACATTAAAGTCAACATTAATTAACGTTTAAAGAAAAGAAAGATTAAGAATTTTAAAAAAGAATGAAGAATTGAAGTTGAATATCTATCTAGGGCCTAGGGGCCTATACGCCCTATACTAGGTCTATTAGGGCTCTAAAATATTGTTAGCCTAATTATTATTAGGCCCTAATTTACTTATTAGTTAAGCCTAATTACTAATTAGTAGGCCTATTAGGTCTATAATTAATATTAATTAGGCCTACTAATTTTTATTAATTAGTATAGCAGGACTAGTTATTTTTTTTAGTGTTAGTGTACTTAAGTGTACTGGTCTGTTGGGTGTTAGGCTAAATGATCTCAATCTCTTCTCCTACTTAAAAAATCTGTAATATATCATTTTAGGTATGTAAAATCGGCCGAGGCTAGTAATATGAAAAAAGGGTGACTCATCAAATATTTGTTATTATTTTACATTTTTTGAAAGATTTATGTTTTAAAAGTTACAAAAATGTTTCAAACTTTCATTCATGTACCTGTTTGTTTTAAATAATTGTATTAAAACTTTTCAGTAATAAATAAAGATAAGCAATGTTTTCATCAGATGCAACCAAGCTCAATTACTTTAGCATTCATCTCATTTGAGTTTTTTGGAAACATTTTAGTTAGAGATTCAGGGGAAACTACTCTAATTCATAGATGACAGCTGTTTATATAGCCAATCTTGCTCGGAAGAAGGCTGTTAATTTCTGGTCTTTATTAATGATAGACATTGCTTTTGGTTTATTATTTAATTATCTATTATATTTGACAAAAATTTTGTATAATATACTTGTATATATATTATTAATTATATATATATATATATTATTAATTGGCTACCTTTCTCACACATTACTAGTCTCTGACGATTTTACGTAGGCCTACCTAAAACTACGATAGATTACCAAAAAATCTAATTTAGGCCTAATGGATGCGAGCGAGAAGGTATTCAAGAGGCCCATTAATGAATTTAAAAATCATGCACGGCGTAATTACAATTAATATATTATATATGGTTATAAAATCCTGTCTGTCTGGTTTTTTTCGGACTTTACTAAAGATTGGATGTATTTGATGTTTTTTATATTTTCGGTAACTAAATAAAATTTTTAAAAAATCAAAAACAATTTGGTTTTCACTTGTAATGGTGACATAAATAATGGCATCCTGCTTTTCAATAGGCTGTCATAAATTTTATTGTACACATAAACTTAAAAAAGCTAAACTAAAAAAACGAAAAAATAGGTCATGGGGTTTAAATTTGCATTGTTGTTTAAAAACTTTCACTGCAAAGTTTTGTAAACAAATAATTATCGATCACAGAGTTCCTGTACAGCCAATCAATATGTGTCTTACGAAAGTGAAACATCCAGTTATAACTTAGGATCGATGAAAATAAATAAAATGTAGCCTTAGGTTATTTATTATTTATCCAACTTTTTTACTTTAAACTACTAAACTCAACAAATTATTTTCAAGTTCAAGTTCTCTGGATTTGCAACTTATAAAGCATTTAGGCGTATTCTAAAAATATAAAATTTCTAAATTAATTTTAGGCTTAAGTTTTTATTTTTACGGTCACTTTGTTAAATCTAAAAAAGCAGGTTTTATTCCATGTCAACAACAGTTGAGTCAACATGATGATGGAAGGATTCTCCGTTCTTGTCAACTGACGTCAACTCAACTCGCTCGCGTCCATTTTAAAATTTAATAAAATTAAATTAGGTCTAATGAATTGTAGATCTAGACTAGAGTCTAGTTGTAATTACTAGTAATCACTTGATTTTTCTTTAACTTTAATTCTTTTAGGTCTAGATCTAGACTTAGATCTAGTGAAAGAAAACAGATTCTATTTGACTCTAAAAGAAAATAAATAAAAATAATTACTAAGTCAAGCACGTTTTACCAAGTGGTAGCAGCCAGCAGTCTAGTGTTTGTCAATATGCCACTTTGCAACATGTAAACCAACTTTGGAAATGCTAGGCCAGTGAATACGCTAATACAAAATAATCATTACTATAAAAATTTGATTAAAAAAGCAGGGAAAAATTCTAGAATATTCTATTTCAGTAAGAGACACTGAACCATATGCTCAAAAAATCAAAGAAGAGAGTAAAACAATCTGTACATTTTCAAAGAAATGCCACAGTAAATAAAATTTCTAAAAACTGGTGCAAAGACAAGAACCATCGGAGACGGGCGGAACTACAGTGCCGCCAGACCCCGCAATGCGGGGGGGGGGGGGGGGGGGGGGCACGCCAGATAGGGGCCCATAGCCGACCATAATAAAGTTTTCATGGTTAAAAAATAATTTTCTTGCATTTTTTACTTGATGGTAAAAGCTTTTGTTAATAACAAACAGATCTACTACATTAGTGATGTTATACAGTAGCTAACACATGCTGTTGCTTTAAAAAAAATATGCCTGAGCTGTAGTGTGAAAGATAGGCAAACGTTCAAAACACGTGCGTGGCTTATTTCCCTTTTTTAAATAGTTAAAAAGGGTTGCTCATAAGCTCCTTTTAATATATGTGTACTAAACAAATTAAAGCAATTACTTCTCTTACTTATTATTTAAAAAAAAATACATACTAAAACTGACAAAACATAAAAAGGAAATATATTTAAAACAAATAATATAATAAAAAAAACACATAAAAATAAACATAACACGAGAAACCATTACACATACAAAGCTTTCATGTTTTATAGTATTTTGACCGGCTACTAAGCAGAGGATAGGCAGCATTACCGCAAAGTAGTTCTAAACCTAGAAAAAAAAATACGAAGCAGACTAATGAACTCACACACATAATATATTGTAATTTGTTTAAATATATATAAACCGATAATTCACGTGTAACGGGTACCAACGGCTAGTTCATATAGAACGTCCCATCACATAAATTATTTACAAAAAAATGAAAGTTCATGTAAGATAGTAATATCACTAAGCGTCGACAAAAAATAACTTTGGCGGACGTGTGTGGATTGAGAGGGGTTGAGGGGGGGGGGGTTGAAAAAAAAAGAATTTTTTTTTCATATATATATATATATATATATATATATATATATATATATATATATATATATATATATATATATATATATATATATATATATATATATATATATATATATATAGGAGGGGGGCCCAGAATTTTTGTTTGCGGGGTGGCCCTTTTTTTCTAGTTCCGCCACTGATCGGAGATCAGTGTTTCTTTCAGGCATCTCTTCGAGGGTGGGGGGGGGGGGGGGGTGCAGCGCCGAGATGTGTATCAAATGGCATGGAGGGGCGGGGGGATAAATCGTTTTAAAACACGTGATTTCGATTATAGTATTTATAGATTATCCCTTATAAATAATTACAGAAAATTCGCTTTAATGCAGGGGTCTCCAAACTTTTCAGTCCGAGGGCCGCATTAACTATCAAATTTCAGTTCGGGGGCCAGTTTCTTCCAGGCATGTCTTTAATTTTTCTGGGCAAAGTTCCTAAGCCACCACCAACTAACGATTTTTCTTGGACAAAAAGATCTCAGCGGGCCGGATGAGAGGACTTCGCGGGCCGCATCCGGCCCGCGGGCCGTAGTTTGGAGACCCCTGCTTTAATGTATTGTTTTTAAATATAATTTTTATTACATCACGGAAGAGCTGGACGCGTTAAACAAATTTTTCAAATGCCACGAATAAAAAATTAACGATAGTCCTATTTATTTAGCTATTTAATTTGTCCCACATGACAATAAAAGCTTTTTATTACAAAAGCTAAATGACAAGAGTCGTCAATGTAAAAAGTTGAGCAACAGTAAAATAAAAATATATGGCAACGGTAAAAATTATCTGAAAATTTTGTATAATAATTTTTCATGTAGATTTATTAATCATTTTTTAACATAAATTTTAGGTCAATATTTAAAAAGTGTTTGGTTGTACGTCAGGAAACTAAGAAGACAAAACACGTTTTTGGAACCCTGTCAGTCCCAGCCAACTGACTCATTTTATTTTTAATCGCATGATCTCGGTGTTTAGGAAAGACCTTTTATAGCAGTGTTTGTTTTCAAACTACCAAATAGTAAAATACCAAACCTGAACTTCACAATTTTTGTTCAATAAATAGATCTAGATCTATCTAGATCTATATTGATTATTCTATTTGTACACACAATAAAATAATTATTTCAGATACCTATTTATTTAAAAATTGAGGAGGTAAGCTAAAGAAGCAGACTGTATGGCGTTGCTTGTCATAAAAGTTGCTTGCTACACGAGTACACAACACACGTGCACAGATGATCATGACACTCACTCTCTCAGTCTTCTCAACACTCAACTGTTTTGAACTGCTTTGCTCTTTAAATTGGTACAACAATCACAGTCAGCATCCAAGTTGATTTATTAAGAAATGTCAGTCAATTCAGGTGAATAAAATAACAAGTACAGAGTAGAGACAGAGTGTGTCACAGTGTGTGTGTCGTGTGTCATCTGCACAAGGTTGTTGTAGTAACAAAGTTACAATTATATTATTGGTAAAATCACGATATAGCGTCGGAAATTATTGGGTAATGTTCGTTGAGTTTCGGTAACATTCGTTACTGGAAACCATAGTTTATTTGACCGGTGAAATAAAAATAAAGTCAAGTGCATTAAATTGTTTTAACTTAATTTACAGTTTAATTGACAGAAAATTAATAACAGATAGAAAATCTAAATATTATTAATAAACTCGAGTGTAGTAATTAATTATTTTTTTTTAAGAAACAGAAAAAACTTGCAGAAGATTTGCGACAACCAGCTCTTGTTCTGTTAGTAAATAAGACGATTAGATTAACTAAAGTTAAAAGTAGTAAGAATAACTAGAATAATGTTTAGTAGCAGCAATAATTAGCACATACACTTAAAATAATTAGAAATACAAAATAATTAGCTAAACAGTATTTAAAATGCAACTAAAATCAATCCTTGCACATTTTTAAACATTATGTATTAAAAATAATATGGCGGCAAATAAATGATGGTTTACAGTATTTCCGGTGGTTTCCGGAACGGCTCGACAGACTACGCCATGGTTTTACTGTCTTTTACTGCTGTACAGTTCCGGAATAATAACCGACGCTATATCGTGATTTTACCATATTATTATTATAATAATGTGGTAAAACTCCATTTTAGCGTATTTTATTCTCCATTGCTTGTTTACCTCCAGTTGAGCGTATTTTATTATAACAACCGAAACACACCAAAACATTAGGAAAACACGATTTATTTTTTTTATTGTATTTTTGTTTTAGCAAATGAATAAAAATGAATATTTAAAAAACACGACTTGTTTATTTGTATTGTATTTTTTTTTTTAAAAAGGCATTTGTCTCATGGTGAAACTGATACACTGTTAATTATTCTGTTTTATATTTTTGTATTTATGCAATAAATGTACAAACTCTGTTTTTTAATTTGACAGTTTTGCCAAAACTGAAAAAATATTTTACTATAGAGTTGTATGTTATTTAAATTCATAGTAAATCTACCATCCTTCCCAATATTTTGATATATGTATCAAGTATGATTTTTTGTATGAGTAAATTTCTGACTTTTAAAAAAAATTGATGTGGGGTCGTCCATAAATGACGTCACACTCGTAAGGGAGAGGGGGGTCCGCAATTTTGTGACGGTGTGTGATGAGGGGGAGGGGGTGGGGTTTCAGATGGTGTGACGTCACTTTTTTGCATTATAAAAAAGCAATGTTAGAAAAACGAGTTTTAGCCGTTATTTCGCGTTTTAGAAAACGGTTTTAATAAATTGAAATATTAATTGATCAAAATACTCTATGTTGACAGAGTTCTGACAAGATTTTGGACAAATTATCGATGTTTTAAGAAAAATTCAACAGAAATTTTGAGGGGGGAGGGGGGGGGGTTGTAGGCTGAGGTGTGACGTCATTTTAGGGGGGGGGGGGAAGTCTGACATCACACATTGTCACAAAATTACGGACCCCTCCCCCTTCGAGTGTGACGTCATTTATGTACGACCTCTAACATTATTTTTTTTTTTAAATGACAACGTGAGTTTTCACACTTTCTCTAACACTCCAAGCCATCCCTCACCAAATTCCACCTCCCTCACCAAATTCCACCCCCCCCCCCCCCCCCCCGGCCCACTTTCGGCAGCATTATTGTGCCTTTTAATACTTTAATTCAGTTTAGTTGAAATTGAAACACTTAATTGTACAAATTGTGCATCTCTATTTTTGTAACCAACAAACAAAGCACTTCAGTCAGTCTCTTTGTTGTTTTTTATTCATTTGTTAAAACAAAAATACAATACAAATAAATAAATCGTGTTTTTCTAATGTTTTGGTGTGTTTCGGTTATTATAATAAAATACGCTCAACTGGAGGTAAACAAGCAACGGAGAATAAAATACGCTAAAATGGAGTTTAACCTAATAATGTTATATTAATTATATTTATATAGTATAATTATAATAGTCCTAATATTATAACATAACAATACAGTAATGACTAGTTACTTGACCTACCTTTTTTTAGATGTTTACTGTCGTCATGGTATTGATGAGATGGTTGCCAAAAACAATAGACTATTAGACCGGTCTTCCTTTTTTTAACAGTGTTTCATAGTTATTTCTACAACACATAGGGTCCTACTTTTAATAATTATTTCTAAGTGACTACTCGGAAAAAGATTTTTTGCCCCAGCGTCTCCATCTGGTCGGCAGAAGATATGAAACCCAATAGTTCAGTTCTGCGCATGCTCAGTTACCTTAATAGCTGCGTGGTGTTAGGGTTCTGCAGTTTGTTTGTAAACACACAAATGCGCAGTGCCATAGAAAACATCGCTGTAAAGGGAGGCTGTAGTTTCTCTCCATTGCACATGTATATCTTTTTCCGGCTAGAATCTGCCTAATTATTTTTGCGTTTTATTTTAGACCAATCTATTTTTAAGAATGGACAATTAGTGTAAAGTTGCCTTTTGTACATTTTTTTGCCAAATTGCTGAGAATATCAAGCAGATTATATGTTAAGAATAATGTTATAGGCCTTATTGTAATTTTAATTTAATACTTTTGTGACAATGCTCAAACTTTGTCTCTCAAATATGAAATTATATATTAAATAATATTAATCGTCTTAACTAATGTCCTTAATTTTATAAATTCATCAGGGTAAAAATCAAATTCATTTAAAATATAACTTGATCGAGGCAACATCCAACTAGGCCTGCCCATTTTGCCTGCTTTTATATTTTGAATGGGATCTTTTCTTTTGTCTATTCTATTTATCTTTATGTAATTTTAGATGTAAGTAATATTTAAAACTAAATAATAGCCTACTAATACTACATAGTAAATAGTTTACTTTCTTTTAAAAACGTAGCATATTATCTATTTTACTTTTTAAATTCTTAAGGTTAACGCAAAATATTGAGATGAAGCTGCTTACACATAACATGCTCACATCAAATATTATAAAAGGTGTAACTAAAGGATTCCCTCTGAAAATTGTGGTATGTAGGCCCAATTTAATTAAGATTAAAAAAAAATTAAAATTTGAAACTGTTGGTTATGTTTTTGCCTTTTACAAAAGAATCAAACTAGTTGTAGATTTGATATATGATATGTGCCTATCTTTAGCCTACGCTTAACTTTTTTCTAGCCCAAAAAGGTTGAAGTAAAAGAAGTTGATTACAACCAAGCCTTCATTGTGAGAACATTAACCAAGATAGACTGGGATGCACTTCACCAAGCTGCTGTTGAGGTGATATTATAAGACCTATTTATGTTGAATTTGAATTCAATTGCTTTTTTTATTTATTTTTTTCAAATGTTTTTTTTCTTCTTTTTTTTTTAAAAGACTGGCCATGGTGATGGTTTGCCCAGTGCACTAGGAGAAAACTACCAACAGGATGAGGATCTCCTTAAAAAAATTCATAATGCTCTATTACAGGTTTGTTTCATAACTTTTTTTTGTTCTAAAACTTTACTATATTCTATTTCTGGAAAATATGTTATATCATAGTATCTGTTAATCAAAATATTTAAACTTTGTATCTTAAAATAAAACGTTGAAGTTGATATCAGGCATTTCAAAATGTTTTGGCAGGTTGAAGTGATTGAGGGAGAACTGGTCTGTCCTGAGTCTGGTCGAAAGTTTCCCATAGCAAATGGAATTCCTAATATGCTTTTATTGGAAAATGAAGTTGGAAATTGAACTTATTTCTTTTGTATGATTTTTGTTGTGTTCATCTTGTAAATAATCATTATGCATAAAAATATGCATTTCTCAGTCATATTGAGCCATGTAAATTCATTTTGTTTTAATTTTCAGTGAAGAAAAAGTGGTATTCAGTAAAAAAAAATTCTTTGTTTTCATTTATTTCTAAAATATGCTTTGACAGCTTGATTTACTTGATTTCAATAACAAACAACTTTAAAATTAGTAAATTTATTAGATGAAAATGAAACATAAAGACCACACAGGCAGAACATTTAGAGAGCTTTAGAAATCTTTTTAACTGTAGATCCACACTGTACCATGATGCATTGCATTTAAATTATCTACCTCTTTCAGAATAAATAGAATAATAATTAAAACGTACACTTGAATGTAATTAGCATAATTAAAAAGTACACTTAAATGTAATAAGCGTAAAAATGCTTAGGATTACAACACAAATATTTCACATGTATTTACATTTGTAAAAAAAGTATTGCAGTTAATAAAAATGAGCATTTCATTTACAAAACTGCTTCCTCATTAGAAGCATTTGAGTGCTTGAAATATTTGAAAATCTATGATGTTGTAAAAAGTTAAAAGACAAAATTAATCACAGCCAAGAAAAAAAAAGAATGAAATCTTTTTTTATTCAATAGCACAATCATCTTTATGTAGGTATCAAAATAATTGTAATCTAGTTGAAGAAAATGTACACAACATTGAACTTTGCATATCTAATACAGTAAATAAACCTTCATTTTATTAATGGATGAAGAAATGTAACAGGGCTGCCAACCCTAAAGAAATATTTTCAGAAACAAAAGCGTATTTTTTTTTAAAAATTGGATGTTGTCCGTAACATTTAACATCTTTTAATATAATTACTAGGTAAATAAGTCCAAATTCATATTAACAAAACTTACTTAGCATAATGATGTTAATTGTCTAAATTACTTATAGTATAGTAAATTTATTTCAAAGAAATGGACAAATTGTTACATGTCTACATCCTGGTGGGCCACAATCTAAAATAGCAATAACTGTTCATGACATCTAAGCTAATGATTTAAGATTTTTCTCCTACTGACAAGAATGGGGCCACACAGGTTGTGATATTTGGAATCTGCATTTTTCTTGAATATTTTTTTAGAATTAGATCAAGTTAGGAATTTTTAAAAATAACATCCAGGTAGGCCAACTTGTTCAGCTGTAAACTTTAGTCTTGCACATCTACAAAAAAAAAATCTCTTGCTTTTTACCAGTAATTCCACTGGTAAGATCTCACATTTTTACCCATACCTTGATGAAGACTAAAACATCAGCCTATATTTCATGAAAAACTACAGATCTAGGTTTCAAAAGATGTTTATGCTCGATCAGTCTTTCATCTATAATACTTATTAGTGTATAACCACAAAGCATTCACGGGGGTTGATGAAAGTTCATAACATAGACCTGATAGCCCCCCCCCCCCCCATGACATTGGACAGGAAGGAATCAATACATAAGGTAGCTGTAAATGAGAAATTCCACATTAAACAGTGGAAAATTTAACTGGGTGAAAATAAATAAAACTCAGACCAGTATCTGAAAATAGCCATAAATTTAAAAAAAAAATACACCACACAAATTTACGCTAATGACAACTTACATTTTTTTTTAGAATAATAACAGTTAAGGCATAATTGTAAATCCATAACGTAAATGGTAAACATAAAATTACAGGCTAACTAAACTGTACAAGTAGGCAGCCCTGATATAATAAGGCTTAAAAGAATAATTTTTAAAAGACTAAAGAGCACATGATTTAAGAAAATTACAGTTTTACAAATATGTTCAACCTAAAGACGAGTTCCAGTAACTAGAATACTGGAGGCAGCATGAATATCACCCAAGGAGTTATCTCTCCTGGCCAGTAGGAGAGACATTTGTGGTCCACATCTTAATGTTGCATCTGGTCCTGTGCTGCCCTTTGGTCCTGAAACATTGCTGCGATCTGGTCCGCTAAAGTTATTTTTATCCGGACCATTGGCTTGCGTATAATCCGAACTGAGTGAAATATAAAAAATATTTTTAAGAAAAAAATAAGCATAATTAGCATAACTAAAAATTAGTATGTATATCATATAAATATGATTTTTTTAAAAGGCCTACGTCAGTAAAGAACTATTTGGTCCCTTGCACAAACTGGCATCTGGTCCTTTAGACTCCATTCTGAGTTTAGATGCAAACTTCTGATGGCTAGTTTCTGTGGGTGGAGGGGAAGTAACTTTGGCTGGTTGAGTTGTCACTACTGGCTTCCTTGAAGTGTCATCTGTCTTGGCAGGCCTTCAGAAGCAATACAATACATTTTTAAACAGGCATCTTAAAGAGAGTATCTTTCTTTTAGAATAAAATATATTTCAGCTTGACTTAGCTGAAGACCAAACATGTTTAATAATGAAGACTGACAGGATGACTGAAAGTTGTGAAGTAGAAATCTGCCAGACTCAAGGCAGAGTAAGCTTCTTAAAACCCACTCAAGCATTACATCTGAAGTTGGTTACAGTTTACAGTTGTACAACACTTTACATTATCTTTTCTTTCTAGAGAAATAATTATAAACAAAGCATGCAAGCAACAATTACACTGAATTTTAACATCTGATATCAATGCATTCAAAGTTAGTAACATGCAAAATTAATATATGAAAATATAAATTCAAGCTGTGAAAATAATGACACAAAAAATTGACCACAAAAAATGTAGACCAATTACATTTACAGAATAAAGACATGCTTTTGATGACAAAAAACTAAAGATTTAGACTTGCCCAGAATGTTATAAATCAAAATTATAGTGGCTTTGCTTTGAACAATTGATCTAGAATTTCAATTTTGAGAAAGCTTATCAATAGTACAATTTATAGAAGCAGTTGCTGTGTTGTTATTTGAAGTGTAGATCTACTTATCACAAAAAATGTGATGAACCAACATTGATTTCAAAAAGTTTATTCTTTACCCTTTAAGTGTAGATTGTTGCACAAAACAATGTTAATGTAGAGTTTTCCATCTTATCTTTTTTTTTAAATCTTTTTTTTTGTGAGGTAAAAACTACTACTTTTACTACCACTTTCCACAAGCTGATAATTTGGAGCTTTAGTTTTCCCTCCTCCACAGTAATATTTCCCAATTAACAGTGATGGAATAAATACCGGCAGCATTCCACACAACATGCTTAAAATCTGATGACCCAGGTAAAGGTGGGGCAGGTAGGTTGTTGTCAATGCCTCTTCATTTTACTGTTTGATTAAGCTATTTTTAAACAAGTATCAAAACGAAAATACACAAACACAGATTCAATTTGTATGGTTAAAAAATTAAAGTATTGTCAACTTCAAATGAACACAAGTAAAAAAAAATACTGCGTGTACTAAATCTACAAAATCATTCTGGTTAATGACAGCTTGTGATTATAAACAATCAACGATCATTTAGGTGAAAGATAGACCTTGTCTCTTCAGCTTCGTGAAGGACTTCTTCATCCTGATTGGCACAGCAAGTTGCTGTTGTGGCCAGATGGTTTAGTAGGTCATTTGTCGTGTTAAGAAGCTGCTCACTCATTCTAGCATTGTGATAAATTTCATTAGTGATAAGATAAATAATCATATGTCCTCTGACTATCAGAATTATTTTATCATGTAATTTAATAAGAAAAGGCTCAACCCATTATTAGTATAAAAAATTATATAACAGAATATTAAAAATTCTACAATATTTTTTAATTTAATAAAACATGGGTTTATTTATTAATTTTATGGGACAATATAAGTATAGCAAATATAAATAAATCAGTTTTTAAAAAATGATAGAGCTCAAATTCTGATGGTCAAACATATCAATTTTTTGTATTGATTGTTTTAAGATAATTTGAAAATGCTGCTATTAAAGAGAAAACAAGTATTTTAGGTTTAAGGTAAAAATTATTAAATCACAAATCCTTCATGTTTACTGCAAAATCTCTCACATACTAGCAACCTCTATTGTGTAAAAGTTATATAAAAATTTACGACAAATTCTACAAATTGTCGAATTCTGTGACATACCTCGTAACATGCTGAGCACTGGCATGATGGTGTGATGAGCCAGCAGCAGACTCACTGCCTGTTGCATCACCCCTGCTGCCATTGGTTTCTTGTTTGCTGTGAGAAGCTTCAGTGGATGTTTTTTTAGCATTAGGCCTGTGTCCTGGTCGGTAAGCATTCGACTGGGTAATACCCCTGTTTAGATAGAGGTAATCAAATAAAGCAAAGTTATTTCTATCAGGATCAGGCATGTCTGATTTAGAAGGATCAAGGGAAATTTACTAGACAAAAAGTATTCAAGATTACAAGACCAAATAGTAAAGGATACAATGTGGTCAAATATTTATCACAAAAATATAGCAGAACTAGTTTACAAATACACAAATAATTCAGTGAATAGAAACAACTGAATTTAAATTGAACTTTGTTTTCTTCTAAAAATACTGTAATTCACAACTATAATATTAAAATAACAGTTATGGTTCATGACTACGAGGTTAAACTTGAATTGGCCAGATTTTAGCAACATGGAAGTTCAAAGCAATAATGTAATACTAAATGATCTAATAAATAATAAGCTTACTGAGGTTTGTTGGTAGGAGATTCATCCATCCCAGCAGGTTCAAGATTCTGAGGCTGAGGTACCACACTCGGAGTTGTGGAGGCAGTGCTGTGGCTGTTGGCTGAACAAAAGGAAATAATGTACACAGACAGTAAGGTCGCTAGGTTTTTACACATGTGGATATAAAGTAAAGATTCCTCTTTAGACCTAGCGACTCATTGGGTAGATGAAGTAGAATTCATGTTTCTTGACCTCTGCATATGAAGGGATAATGTGGTCAGCACTATGCATGTGTGGATATACATTATAAAAAATTATAGCAGCATCCTGAATTGTTACTTTTGCTAAAAATGTAACTGTTGCTCAAGTTAATGGTCTAGATATAATTATTGGCTAAGTCGATCTTAAACATAAATTCTAATTCTACTTAAATTCTGCTAAACAAAAAGCTGTCAGAGTTAATGACCTTTCTCCATAAAAATTTTTTTCGTGTTCTGAATTGTTGAAGTGTTTCTGAGTGACAAACCTTTAAGCTAATTACCTGCACAAATTGCTAGTCACACACAAATTATCTCTCATGCACAATTAAATAAAAATGTGAGCCCTACCTTTTGCCTTAGCCATTTTAGCTTCCTCCTCTCTAAAAAAAAAGGTTTTAGTTTGTTGATTTATTGACCAATACAAATTTTTTAAAACTTCACACTAGTTTAAGCAACGTATGAAACTATTTGTACACATTATGTGAAGTCACAAACATCTTTAACCTATCTAGAAATATCAAACACTAACCTAGCTCTAACCTTTCCCAAGTTGAATGTTTTAAAGTTTACCAATCAAACTCAAACACTAACCTAGCTCTAACCTTTCCCAAGTTGAATGTTTTAAAGTTTACCAATCAAACTCAAACACTAACCTAGCTCTAACCTTTCCCAAGTTGAATGTTTTAAAGTTTACCAATCAAACTCAAACCCCTGCAACCATCCATGAGGTTATAAATATCTTACTGATTTTTTTCCCATGCAGAAACCAGTACCATTCCATCGTCAAGGTCATGATGACAGTGGGTCAAGGCAATTCTAAGGACATCAGTGTCTACATTAGGGAATGCATTCTTCAGTTGGTTGAAAACTGGTGCAATAGAAAAATCAAATTAAAAACGTAATATTTACAAATATCTAAAACTTAAGAAACAAGCTTAACTTTAAAATCTAATAATTGAATGCTAATTAAGTTGCAACAATAAATAGTTTCTATGTTAATAGAATTTCCTATTACATTTTGAATATTTTAATTCGTTAATTGTTACCAAATTCTTTAAAGCTAGCACAAACAGAAATAAAAATACATTTATTGTGACAAGTTAATTCTCAATAAAAATAATTTCAATGTTTCCACTGGTAATTTTAAAAGAAAGAATTTTTAATTAAAAAAAAAAGAATAAATTCTAAGGGCGCACCTCTTGATTTATCAGCCTCTGAAAGCTCCGCCTTAGCCGCTGGTTGTGGGGGCTGCTGGGATTTGGCTGGTGTATGTGAATGATGGTGGCTGCCTTCCTTTTTTTTGCCATTTCTGTGTGGAGATGCGGCTGAACTTCTTGACGGAGATGCAGCAGTATTTCTTGATGGTGATGCAGAACGTTTTGCGGGTGTGGAGTTTGTTCCTAGTGTTTTCAATGGATGAAAACCCAGATTCTGGAGTTGCTCTTTTGTAAGACGTTCATCGTTTTGATAGCTGAAACATTTCCAAAACTGAATAAACACCCTAAATAAAGTGTGCGGTATTTGGTAAATAATAACATGTTTTTAAACTACCTTCAACAAAATAGTATGCCTAGCTGTTAAGTAATAATTTAAACTAACAATGATTTAAGTAAGCAGCATTTATACATAAAATATTGTAGTGAATATAACAAAACAATAGACTTAAATTTTTATCCCATTTTGAAGACAACACAGGCTGTGCTGTTTCTCATGTCCTATTTGATCAAAAGATTACTTTCAAAAAACATTTCAACTTTTGTTTTCTCTATTACAATGAAATGCACAATCCACAATATGTCTTCTAACTTATTCTGAGATTACAACTTCTTGTTTAAACTCTTTCAATTAGATAGTTTGGAAGTAGTTTCTTTTCAAACCAACACAGCCAAAGAGACTGCTCTTGCTTCCTGTACTGATGTAAGTTACTAGGTAAGTTGTGTGGACTATGTGAAGTCCTCAACAAACAAGTCCACAATGAGGGTAAGTCAACACTCAAATAAGTGCCAGTATAGAATAAAGATTGGGTACAAAGTTCACCAACAAACTTCTTACAGTGTGACCATGTCCACAGTAAAAGTAAGTCCACACTAAAATAAGTGCCAGTATACAGCAAAGATTGGAGCACAAAGTTAATTTAACCAACAAACTTCTTACAGTGCGAGCATGTCCACAATAATGTCCCTGCCTGCGCTGGGGTATTCAGCCATTAACTTGTCCACTTTGGCTGCATTGATCTTGTTCGTCAGACTGGATTCTTTCTGTGGATATATTTGACCAGTCTAGATAGCAATCTTTATCTATGGAAGCTAATATTTAAGATAAACATGATTCATAAACATCTGTGCTTAACTCATGTCTGCATGGAGTTTAGAGCAGTATTTAACTAAGTAAGCAAAATAAGCTCTTTAAGAAAGCAAAATTACAACTCAAAAAAACAAACTTGCTTTAACATGCTTTAAATTAAACAAAACAAATATAAGCATCCATTTAAAAAAATGTGTACACCTGTGACCCAGTCATGCAAGTTATTAAGTGAACAAATAGTCAAGTGGATATTAACAATATTATGAATGGTAAACATAGTAGTTAGAATCATCATAAGTAAGTTTAGTCTGGGTTTAAAAAGGTTCTTATTATAATTTCAGACAGGGACTGAGACTATGCTAACCTATTCTCATCCCCTTATGATGCACTATCACAAAATTAATGGGGTGAAATTCCCCAAAAGTGAATGTATAATTCAAGTTTACTGCATTCTTTAATTAAATAACCATGTATAAAAAAGAATTGTGAATGAATTAATTTACTAGTGTTATATTCTGTTAATACAATATTTACAAGGGATGAATCTGTGTCACTATCCTGTGAACTGGCAGAATTGGGTCTGTTCATGTCTCGTAGAGCCACACTCTCATAGCTTCTTACACTGTCACCTATTTGTCCTAGAGACTGGAACTGGTGAGGTTTGTTCAATTAATTCAAGTTAACAGAAGGCCCTTGTGAATCAGGGTCCGTAAGAAATAAACAGCTTTAATTTACTACTTTTTGTTCTCAGTTAATTTCATTTGGTCATCTCAGTGCCATAAAACACTGTCTAAGTTTTTAATATATTAACATTGACCAAACAGGTTTTCTACAAAATAATAGATTAACAAAGTAATTTCAATATTCAGCAAGAGTGATCAATATTTAAGAAAATGTGTGTATGCAAGTTAATAAATAACCCTGATTCACTAAATGAGCAACTTAAACAAGCAAAGAACTAACAAAACATGGAATATCAAGCAAGCAATACAATAAAACATAACATGTAAAATTTAACAAAAAGTACATTGACACAATACTAAAAGTGTGATATTTTGATATAACTTTAAGTAAATACTTTTATATTTATTTAATTAAATGTACAAATAAGAAATAAAGACAGTGATATTTATGTTTAATAATTTCTTGAAATTTAAAAAATAAACAACTTGTTTTCTATAACATTCTGTTATCTGATTAGATATCAAGCACATAAACTGTCTTATACTTTGATGTTACAGCCAAAAGAAGTTAATTATTAACTAACTTAAAGCCTTGATTAACTCTATGACAACAGAAAAACTTTTCTTTATAGTAACAGACAGTGTTTTTTAAATACACTGTACATTGAGTCTATGTTATGATATTTATTTTTTTAATTATTTTAATTATATAGATTCCAGTCTTATTAGCATTACTTTTCTGTTAAGGAATTGAGATTCAAAGGTTTTATAAAAATTATTTTTTTTGCACTAAAACTTCTAAGCAATAACCAAATAAAAACTAAGCACTTGTTCTGGTTAATGCCAGCTTATCCAACTACACTAACAGGGTATCTGTAAGAGAAATGCCTTACTGCAGCAGCTGCGGCCGCACTGGACTCTCCCTGCTGGTGCCGCGGGGATGCTGCAGGCTGCTGAAATCTTGGATCCTCCCATTGGGTCGTGCGAGTCTTGTGGTTAATAAAGAAGCTGTTTCGTTGTGAAAATGAGTTAAGTGCAAATTGAGAAGCTAATTATGTGTTAGAGCATTTAAAATGAAAGTGTTTCGAATTAAAAGGCTTTCACTTTAACCAGTCATTTTGTATTTATTTGTCTTTCACACCTCTTTCTGATGTTAATATAATTATAATTTCAGTTAGTACTGAGTTAGAATTAGTATATGTTATAGTAGTGACACCTATATATCCCTTTTCTTGGATATTTCAATTATTTATTTTATAACTGATTTATTGTGTAATTTCTTCAGCCTGTAGTAAATAATATATACATATCAGTGACCATACCCCAGGAATCTAACATTTCTTAACTTCAAAATTATTACTGTTTAGGAAAAAAAGAGTAAGGATACATTGTAATTTAAATTAAATTAGCTAGCTTGACAGAAGTGAAACATTAAATTTTTTCTAATTTTGTTTGTCTGCCATGAAATGAGTTGAGTAATTCGGTATTCATGTAATGGATATATTTTGAAATGAAGCAAAATGTAAATAACACACACTGACATATATTTATCATTATTTGTATAAATCATGCTCAAGTTTATAGAAAATCCCTGAGGCCATCTAAACTCTGCTAAGTACCTGACTCGTTAGGGAACATAAATGTGGCTGGGCATAGCGCTGACCATACTATCTCTTCATATGCCAGGTCACAGAAAAAGGTGAACTCTACATCTGCCACATGGACTAAGAAATTAGAAAGGGTAATTTTACTATAGGGTAATATAAATGACACAGAACTCTCATGGATGTCCACTCAAATTTTCCCTTCCCAATGATATAATGTGAACCACAGCTGAACAACTAATTTTCCCAGGCGTCGGCACCTAGGGAAATGTTGAAATGCTTGACTCAAACCACACCTGCGAAGAAAAAGTTGCTATACTGATGACTGATGGATGTACAGTCACAAGGATCCCCACTTATATTATAAATATATAATAATATATATGTATATATATAGTATATATATATGACATATGATAATTAATAATTATCAATACTACAATCAATAGCCTAATAATAATATTTTATTTTTATTAGGAATATTTTAGGCCTTATTTTATTAGGTCTATTAAAATTAATCACATCACTGATTCTAATTCATTAATAATCAGTCAGAGCAGAGGTGTTGTACAGTTGTTAAATCAATGAATGTAGAGTACGCAGATAAAATTATTTATATCTTAATAGGCCTATTAATAATCTTACATTCTTAGTCTTGTTCTTAGCCTACAAAAAAAAAAATGACAAATGAATCTTCATCACAATCTTTTATTTATTTTAATATTTTTATCTTAGGCTTACTAGGCTCTTTTTATTTGGTCATATCTTGCTTCCCAACCCGGAGGCAAGGGGGGAATCCACTTTACATTAGGAACATTTGCTGCCATAGTATTTGATGTCTGTAGATCTAGATTAGTTTCCGAAGATTAGTTCATGTTAGATCTATTCTTTTGCTATTATTTTTGTTTTTATTTATGTTGATATTTATATGTGGCCAGATTTTTAAAAATCTGAATCTCGAATACTAGAATCTAATTGTAAAACTAAAAGTGTGTGAATCAATAATTTTATAAATTATAAAAACAACTGTATCAAAAATACAATTACTTGAATTAACCTTAAAATTTTAAAATTATTTTCAATCTTTCTATTGCATTTGCATATAAGCTCCAATAATAACAAATTGTTTTAACGATACTATAACATAATAAATCTAAACTGGCATTCCAATTCAACGATTATTTAATTGATCACCCGACTTCTTTAAAATAAATCTTTATCAACTCTGCTCATAGAGTTTAGATCTAGATCTAACCGTTTCTCTGGTGTGTTCATTCGACTTTTTAATTGTCAATCATCGAAAAAAAACCTGTGTTGCGCTAGGCCTATATGGCATATGGTGTTTGTCCGTAAATGATGTTTAGGCCTACTCCATTAGAGAGCGACTGAGTGTGGAATGGGGGGGGGGGGGGGGATTTTTGAGGTAAGGATAGTAGGTTGGGGATGGAGGGAGGAATTGAGAAACTGCAATGTCACATTTAGCATTAAAAAGAGATTTTGAAAACTTAATTTTAGAAGGTGGTTTTGTTTATTTATTTATTTTGTAAGGGTGTAATTCGGGCTTTTGGTGACGTTCGAGTCAGCTATTGCACGACGCTACAACGTTGTATTTTAAAACGAATTTTAGACTGAATTTTCGCAGTCATTATGATTTCTTATTTGAAGTTTTGAAAATTATGACTTGAACCTTTGAAGCCCTTGGGGTCTGGGAGCAAAGTGCTGCAGCTACACCTGTCAACCGGACTCCGTTTTGGACAGCTCTCTTTAGTTGAGCCGAAGTAAGCACTGCCTTGCTTTATACTTTCCTTCTCCAGATTGCTTTGGTCGGCCTACTTTTCTTTTCCGCGGGGGTTTCTAGTCCAACGCGATATTGTCAATATTGACTTCTTTCCTTCTCATGGTGTGCCTGATACACTCCCATTTGCGGGCTAAATTCTTGTCAATTATGTCTATTGCTTTGTGGTTTGACACGTGTCTTCGTTGATTATTTAGTCTGTCCGTGTAACGCGCCATTATTATTAGGCCATAAGTGTAACCCATTACAGCCGACGCATTACTATAAACGTGTTAACAGTGTAGTGAATTTGTTAGAAATTAGTCAATTGTGCTTAGTAGAGCAAGAAGAAAAGTCATATCTTAATAAATAGTTGGTATTATAGCATGAAAATTGGATGAACTATTAGGCCAAGCTTGATCTTTAATTAGAATATCTTAGTGTTAGTTAGGAGCAAGCCGATATTATTGAAATCTACTTTAATTAGGTGTATTTGATTATATGTTTACAATATTTGCATGCTTGAAGTATTATTGTTGAAGAACAAATTATTGATGTTTATTGTAATTGGTATCATTGTAAAGGGAATTGTCTGTGGTTTCAGAGGATAAGCTTATTAGAATTTTAGGAGATCGCGTTAAGTTTTTATATAGGGTTATTTGGGGTCGGTTAGCACAAAAGCGGGGGAAATTTTCACAGGTAAGCGTTAGAATTCGTGCCAAGAGCAAGGTGTCATCCGAGACGCTCGCGGGTGGGGTATATAAGCCGGTGCGTTAGCCTTAGAGGGGATGGAGAAACGACGGCCCTAGCCAGTAATTTATGCAGCACACGTATTGGCGCTATAGTCTTGTTAGATGCGCGCTACACAGACAATTCCCGCTCAAGAAATATAGACAAATAAAGATTTGCAGAAGACGGCTTATTCTTCATTCTTGATCGTCTGTGACTGTGACTGAGAGTGAGAAATAGAAGAAGAACGTTACAATTGATAGAAGCAAGAATATTACAATAGAACAGTACATTTGACATTTAGTAAAAAAAACGTTACATTTGGTGGCAGCGAAAGAAACGATCTTTAACACGCAACCAGAGAGACTGACAGCAGGCCAGTTAATACAGAGGACAAAAATGGCAGAGATTGAACTACAGGCTCAAATAAGAAACCTGCAAGAAACGATTAAAGAACTCAGAATCGCTAGACAAGATGAGCGACCATTAAGTATGAACCAGGCGTTACCACAATACGACGGTTCAGCGCCATTCCAAGTGTTTTGGAACAAGTTTCAAGCGATATCTCGCATTAACAGCTGGAATGAAGATAGACAGCTACTGCATCTACCAGCTTGTTTGGAGGGGAGTGCGGCCAACTTTGCATTTCTTGAACTCACTCAAGTTGACCGAGCAACGCTTGGAACGTTTGTCGCAGCACTGAGCGCGAGATTTGACACCAGGGTGGGCACCGCTACACATCTGACCCAGTTAGAAAATAGAAAGATGTCAGCAAGGGAGACAACCGCTGAATATACGTCAGATGTGAAACGACTGACGGCCATGGCTTTCCCGTCAGCTGACCAAGCAACTAAATCAACAGTTGCACTGCGCTATTTTCTCAAGGGGCTACAAGATCCTCACCTCGCAGGTATCATTGCCGCCCAGCGCCCAGTTAGCACAGATGAGGCCAGAAACATTCTGGACGAATACCTCAGTGCTAGAGACTGCACAACAAAAACGAAAATGTGTTCGGTGCAGGAGCAGAGCCAGATAGATAGCCTACAGCAGGAGGTGAAAAGACTACAAGAGATGGTCAGTAATCAACGTAGGCTCAGCGACTCGGGATGCTACACTTGTGGGGGCAGACATTTGGCTAGGAATTGCCCAAGAAATAGTAGATTTCAAGAAATGAACCAACGTCGGTCTACTAATAGAAACAGTTATCAAGCCCGGCCAACCCAATCTACAGCCAGAATAAATGAAATCCGACAGAATGGTACAGATAACAATGATGAAAATCTTTTAGGCCTTAACTTTCTGAAAGTAAAAGCCGCGGCAAGCAACAAGCAAGTGGACGTGCCAACAGAGATTTCAATCCGTAGTGTTGCCCCTGGGTGTTCAGTAGTGGTGACTGTAACGGTAGCAAGACACAATATGATGTTTCTGGTAGACACGGGCGCTGCTGTCACTGTTATGTCCACAAGAGCCTTCAACAAGTTACCACAAGCCATTAGAAACAAACTTCAACCCTTGGACAAGAAGGTCACACTGCAATCTGCAGGGGGTGACAGAATAAACTGTCTAGGCACATGTACAGTAGATATGAGAGCTGGCAATGTTGTCACAAAGTGGACAACAGTCATAGCTGACATTGAGGAAGATGGTTTCTTAGGGATGGACTTCCTAATGAAACATGAGTTTCAATTTTCGGCTAAAAAGGGCTTATACCTCAATGGTAGAAGGGTCCCGACACAGACCAGAGGCAGAGAAAAGATGTTCAAAGTAGAAGACCAAAGGTGGCGGTCCAACTTCTACAAGTTTAATGACGCAGTTCCAAGAAGCACACAAAATACGCATAGAGTGGCACCAGTTGCCGCAATATTGAAAGCTTCTATTACAGACCAGAAACATGATCGATTCTATCTGCGGAAGGGTCTACTGTTCTCCCAGCAGGAAATTCGGAAGGCACAAAATGGTGATCGTATTTTGAAGAAGTGTATTTCCTGGGTGCAGAACGAACAGAGACCTGAACAGAGGGAGTTAACCGCAGAAGGCCGGGAACTCCGCTATTACTGGCTGAATTTTAACAGACTGAAACTTGCAGATGGCATATTATGCTGGAAGTGGGTGACAAAAGAACGGAAGACAAATTTAAAGGTGATTGTGCCACATCTCCTAATGTCTAAGGTTCTAGACAAGTGTCACAATAACAAGGGCGCCAGACATGTTGACATTCAAAATACATTAGCCAAGGTACAAGAATATTATTTTTGGTTTAGAATGAAACATGAGGTCACCAACTGGGTGAACTGTTGCGAGAGATGTCAAGTTAGGCAACAACCTGTCGAGAAGACAGGAGGCCTACACGAGAGGAACAAAAGAGACTACGACCGCAACATTGTCTCTAATGACTACAATGTTGGAGATGTAGTGTTGTGTCTAAAGGAGGCAAGGAAAGTAGGCGTGAGTAGGAAGCTTGCTCCCAGACACTGGAAAGGTCCATACGTCATCATAAGGAAACTAAGTGACCTTCTCTTTGAGATAGAGAACAAGGACAAAAAGACAAAAGTCGTGCACCACGACAAATTAAAACCATTTTACCAACGGGAACCAACGAAATGGATCGTTGACTTACAACTCAAACTTCATCACGATGGTGGTTCACCTCAACTGTCGGAATACTCAACGGACGATGAGACAGGCGACAAAGGTCAAGACACAGAGAATCAGCTGTCAGAGAGAGGCGATGATCACAGGGCTGATGAAACAAGCCCAAAACTAACTGTTACCACACAGAACGACGTAAGAGGAAATACAAGACCCCGACGAGAAATCAAACGACCTCGTCGACTGTTGGATTAACAAAAATAGAGCCTGTTAAATTGATAAGTATAGACTGTGTGCTGGATTATTTGGATACCGTGTGAATTCTTAAAATAGTGTTCTGGATTATTAGGATACCGAGTGAATTCTTAAAATAGTGTTCTAAATTACTTAAATATCGGGTGAATTCTTAAATAATGATCAGGATTATTAAGATACCTTGTGAATCTTTAAAATCAGGTGTTTTTCATTACATTCCTGGATGTGAATGTATTCCAACGAAATGTAAGTAGATACAGTTTAACTTTGTGCTAGGACCAATATAGAAGCTTTAGAAGCATTACAATTATGCTCATGGTTTGGTCTGTGAACATACCACAGGAACATTGAAATTATAAGATGTACAGATCTAACCAGAAGGAACGTAGACATTACAAATGCAAAACAAGACTGTATAATAACTTCATGTTAATCGATATTACAATGGATCCAGTTTCTGGTTGTTGTTTTTTTTTATTTGAACATTATGTTGCATTTTGATAATTATAATTGATGTTGATGATGTATCATGTTTATGAAGATGTGATTTAAGATGTTGAATATACAAAGCCTTTAATAAACTAAATCAATTTTGAGGACAAAATTCTTAACTTTGGTAGGGTCAAATGTAGTGAATTTGTTAGAAATTAGTCAATTGTGCTTAGTAGAGCAAGAAGAAAAGTCATATCTTAATAAATAGTTGGTATTATAGCATGAAAATTGGATGAACTATTAGGCCAAGCTTGATCTTTAATTAGAATATCTTAGTGTTAGTTAGGAGCAAGCCGATATTATTGAAATCTACTTTAATTAGGTGTATTTGATTATATGTTTACAATATTTGCATGCTTGAAGTATTATTGTTGAAGAACAAATTATTGATGTTTATTGTAATTGGTATCATTGTAAAGGGAATTGTCTGTGGTTTCAGAGGATAAGCTTATTAGAATTTTAGGAGATCGCGTTAAGTTTTTATATAGGGTTATTTGGGGTCGGTTAGCACAAAAGCGGGGGAAATTTTCACAGGTAAGCGTTAGAATTCGTGCCAAGAGCAAGGTGTCATCCGAGACGCTCGCGGGTGGGGTATATAAGCCGGTGCGTTAGCCTTAGAGGGGATGGAGAAACGACGGCCCTAGCCAGTAATTTATGCAGCACACGTATTGGCGCTATAGTCTTGTTAGATGCGCGCTACACAGACAATTCCCGCTCAAGAAATATAGACAAATAAAGATTTGCAGAAGACGGCTTATTCTTCATTCTTGATCGTCTGTGACTGTGACTGAGAGTGAGAAATAGAAGAAGAACGTTACAATTGATAGAAGCAAGAATATTACAATAGAACAGTACATTTGAGAGTAGTAAAAACGTTACAACAGTTAACACTGTTAAGCCTCCCGTACAGTACCCCTCCCCTTGCGTACTGCATTGCAATATCGTATATTATTATCATCATCACTCTTTGTGTTTTCATTGTCTTTTTCTTTATAAAATTACTAAACAATCATCATCTTGGCCAAAATAAAATAAATAAAGATATAACCGTCATTAATATAACGTGAGCTACTTGATCAACTTCATCAATGTGTAGTATAATAATTAATAAACCTAGATCTATAATTCTACTAGAATACCCGTCATCCGTTGGATAACTGTGGGTTTCGGGGGTCATCCATCAAAAAACATCACGTCTGTCACTCAGAGGCATAGCGAGCCTTCCCGGCGCCCGGGGACAAACTTTTCGATTTTAACCCCCCCCCCCCCAAGATTTCGATTTTCAACCCCCCCCCCAAACTTTTGATGTGCACCCCCCCCCCCCACTCAAACTTTCGATTTGAACCCCCCTCAACCTTTCAATTTATTTTTCCAAACCATTTTGGCGCCCCAACATATGTCCCCCCGCCCCCCCCCCCCTCCACCTCCCCCCGCCTCCCCTTCCGCCCCCTCCCCTCTTCGCTACGCTACTGCAGTGTCACTTATCGTCACAAAAACAGACCCCACATTCAAAAATATGTTTCTTATCTTTTAAAAACACCGAAAACACCGATTTCGGACTATCCCTTCATATACTGACGTCACATGTGACCTACTCAACTCTACTTCACCTGCCCAGTGTCCCGCCAAGTCTCAGACAACATGTTTTTATCGTTTAAAAAACGATTCCAGCCGAGCATGTCTCTGACCACACTATCCTTTCATATGCTTAGGACAAAGAAACAGATGAACTCTACTTCACCTGCCCTGTATCCTGCCAAGTTCAGATAGGCAACTTTATCATTCACATCTAAAAAAAACAAAACAAAAAAAAAAAATTGAAAAAAAATATCATTGACGTATTGGTCTAGAACCTGTACCACCCGCATGAGAGCGGACTACGCTACCAACTTAGCTATTTACTCGTGACGTCACAAATGAATTTTTATACTATACTTTTGAGTCTCCGCGCATAGATCTAGATCTAAGTCTAGTAGTAGAATCTAGTAACTTTCAAATTAAATTTTATCTTAAATTAGCCAAACAAAGATTTATATAAAATAATTAAGGCCTGAAATAGATTCTAGATGTATTAAGGCCTGAAATAGATTCTAGATGTAGAATTTACATTAAGTCTAGATCTAGAATTTACATTGAGTCTAGTGACCTAGATCTAGGCTAGATCTAGATCTAGGCTAGATTCATAACTTTCCTTCGACAGCTGATCTTTAGATCTAGAGAAATTTATTGTAAAACTAAATGAAAAAAGACAGTTTAAAATTGATATAAGTGTTGGAACGTAATAAATACAGCAAACGGACGTATTGTTAAAGTTATGACCGACAGAAAATTAGATTTAGAACGCGTTAAACTTTTGAATGGGAACACAATTTTCTTCGATAGACGCCGCCATTTTATTGTACTAAAGAGTAAACAAAAAACTGTGACGTCACGGTCCCGCCGAGTGTAGTGGTCGTTCTAAACTTTTAAAAAAAAATGGGTTACTCTGCGTATGAATAAATCAATAAATTAATTAACGTCTTTAAATAAATGTGTGATTAACAGTCTGTCTTAAAACAAAAAATTTTCTCTACCTACATACTATTTTACAGCTTTCCACGATGAGTGCAACCATGCGAGATAGTCAATCAGGCAAACAAACAAACGGTAAAATAACGATATAGCGTCGGAAATTATTGGGTAATGTTCGTTGAGTTTCGGTAACATTCGTTACTGTAAACCATAGTTTATTTGACCGTTGAAAGAAAAATAAAGTCAAGTGCATTAAATTAATGTTTTAACTTAATTTAATGTTTAACTGACAAAAATTAGCAACAATTAGTAAATCTAAATATTATTAATAAAGTCGAGTGTAGTAATTAATGATTTTTTTTATCGTGATTTTAGCAAACAAACAAACAAATAAATATTCAAACATGTAAACAAACTTGACTTTTAGTAGTATTAAGATTAAGATATATGCGAGGGATTTCGTAATTTAGTAGAGAAAAGCTTAAAACATAAATTCGGAACTAGGTAACGAAAAACGCCAGACCATCCGACAGATTATTATTTATTCGGCTCATTGGTCTAATACAATACACTACACTTAGACTAAAAGTAGCCTAATAAATGATGGAAGAATCATCAGAAAATGTGTTTCATTTTAAAGATGAAAAACCAACTCCAGATATCATAAATGATTATCCCAGTTCATTGCATGATAATGGTGTGCCACTAGTAATCGACAATGGTAGGCTTTGTTTCATTTTTTTTGTTTGAGCTTTAAATTAAATTTAAAAGCTTATACTTATTATTATTATTAATTAATATTTAATATTATTTATTACCTAAATTATTATAATATTTTATTTAATATTAATACTGTAATAGGCGTCTATCTAGATCTATATATTCACTATGTACTATATTTATTTGACTTATTTTCATTTTGTAGTGTATAGTTATTTATTAGTTAGTTAAGTATAGAAAGTACTTCAAAGTAGACCTTCCCTGCCCTGAGTCCGCCCAGCTCTGATGGGTACCTGACGTTAGGGCTAGTAAAGAGTAGGGGCGGCTGGGTTAGGGTATAATGCTGACCTCACTATCCCTTCATTCTTCATCATTCATATTCGTCATTCGAGGTCACAGAAACAAGTGAACTCCACTTGCCCCATCCATAGACCAGCAGGTTTGAAAGGGGACTTGACTTTTTACTAGATTCTAGATCTAGATCTAGCATAGAATTTGATTGAATAAAAATTTGTTTAAATGCTCCATTCCTTTAGGTACTTATCAATGTCGCGCTGGCTGGGCCTGTGCAGATAACCCAAGTCTAATTTTTAAAAACCTCACTGCAAAACAAAAAGGGAAAAAAAATCAAAATGTAAGTGTAGCTTATTCAAGTATTAACTAGATCTATATTGTATCATTTTATTCATGTGGATTCAAAAAATTTTTGAAATAACTTTATTAATATTAAATTAAAACTTATTTTTTGTAAAAAAAAAAATTGTTAATGAGAGAATTTTTATTGAACTGTTAAATATACAATATTCTTCTAGGAAGTTGAAACACTTTTAGGAAATGATATAATGAGCATGGAGCCAGCAAAATGGATATTGAGATCACAGTTTGATAGGAACATTGTCACTCTTTTTGATATTCAGGTAAAAAGTTTGATTAGCTGAGGTCATTTTTTCAATAATACTTAATTTTTTATTTTAATAGATCACAAATCTTCTTACCTTACAGTACACGCATAGTTGTCTTAAAACAAGATTTCCTATTTTATTTAGCTTTATCAGTTACTGATAGGGTCTCTTTTAATTTAATATGTAAATGATTTACTAAAATGAAATCAGCAACAGTGATTGATTTAGTTCTTCTCAGCATTAAAACAATTGTTTGACTTGTTTAGGAGCAGATGTTTGATTATTTGTTCTCTCATCTGGGGATTACAACTGAAGGATGTGTTGATCATCCCATAGTGTTAACAGAAGCAGTGTGCAACCCTAACTATACCAGACAGTGTATGTATGAAGTATAAATCTAATTTTAAAACAATGTCAATTTGGTCAGGGTGTTCTCTAATCTATACTTTAGTATTGTCGTATGAACAGTAAAACTTCGTTATAAACTCATTTTTTACTGGTACACTTTTTCCCTCAATCATTGGAATTCCTCAGTGATGTCAGAGCTGTTATTTGAATGTTATCATGTGCCTCAACTGTGCTATGGAGTAGATTCTCTCTTCAGCTTTTATTATAATCATCCAAATCCAGGTTTGTTGAATAAGCTAATTAAGTTCTAATTTGGTATTGTGCTTCTAAACTCATTTTTCCTTTGGTAAACAAAATATCAATGTAAAGATTTTAAAAATTGTTTTGATATAAACATGTAACGTTATTGTCAAAAACCTTGGTTAGACTTGTAGTAGCACTGTTATTCGTCAGTGACTGCAACTGCAAAGCTGTATCTGTATTTAAGCTGTATTTTAAAAAATTATTGCATTAAAAAAATTAAATACATACAGTGCTATATATTTTTCTTAAAATGGTAGAAAAGAAATTGTTGAGTATAATCAAGATATGAAACATACATACTTTTCAGAGACTGCTGATGCCCTGATTGTTGACTGTGGCTATCAGGCAACTCACATTCTGCCTGTGTTGGATGGAAGAATTTACCCAACCCAGTGTCGCAGAATCAACATTGGCGGTGGCTATGTAGACTGGTTTCTACAGCGTTTGCTACAGTTAAAGTATCCAGGCCATGTAAATGCTATTACCATTAACAGAGTAGAGGTCAGTTCTTGTGTCATTATCTTTAGAAGTAAACTGTTTACTTTTTTAAGAATATTTTGTAATTTAGATTTTAAGTGACTTAAAATACTTCCAATATGTAAGAATAATGCGGGGAAAAATTGCTATATCTGTAGTAGACAATAAACCCCATGTTTTATTTAAATAATGATTAATATCATGATTGAAAATGATCTCCCTCTTGTTTAGGAAATGATAAAAAACCATTGCTACATGGCCACAGATTTCCTCTCGGAACTAGCCCAGTGGGACGACAATAACTACTTTGAAAAAAATGTTAGAAAAATGCAGCTTCCAATGGCACTGGTATTAACATTACATTCTAAAATTGTAAATTGTACTATTTTGGTTGTACTATTGTTATTAGCTAATATTTTCATTTTATTTTCTGTAACTAGTCTCACCATCAATGTTCCTAATTAAATGATAATGCTAATTAGAATCACCTGTTTCTGACTAGTCAATGATAACAAAGCACCCATTAGTTGTAAAGTTCCCAGTAATGCTTTGTCTGCCCTGTGCATTGGTTGCAGTAAATGATGTATCATTATTTAAAATAATACACTAATAAACTGGATTTATTACATCTTGAGCATGAGGTTGGGGGGGGGGTTCCCACATACTTGGATCTTCCCCACAAGCTTTGTCCCAAGATAAGTAAGATACTCAAGTAACTAAATAGTTTAATCAAGTATGTTAAACATTTTCTGCTATGTTCCTTTAGCAGGCAGCTGTTTCACAAATGAATGCAGAACAACAGAAAGAAAGAAGGAAACAGCAGATCTCACGTCTCCAGGAGGTAAACACTAAGAGAAGGCTTGAAAAGGTAAGTCATACCTGGGTGTTTGTTTAAAGTATCTAGGTAGGCTTGTAAAGGTAATTTATAATTATGTGGCAGAATTCATATAACGCACTCTCTGAATTGTACTAGAATCTTAAGGTAGCTATCTACACATTTTCCTCTCTTTGTAATGATTTTTTTTTATTTTTCTCAACTTTTTTATTTTTATTAAGTTTAGTGTCTTACTGCATGCTAATGAAATTTTATATTTTTTCTAATGTTCAGCTGCAGTCTGATGAAACAGAGCTACAAAAGTTGCTGGAGATCCAAGAATTAATTCTTACAGAGGAAGATGATGATGTTGTAGTGGTAAGATAGAATAAAGTGAATAAGTTAGTTTGGTTCAGTTTGGTTACAAATGTATGGCACATAGAGAGGTTAATTCAAAGTTCAAATCTACAAAATATATCTCTTAATTATGATGGTTTATTTTTTCATTTTAGTATGTCTTAATGTTTAATTTGTATTTTATAATTGCAAAAGCATTTCCACCTATAACACAGGGAGCATTATCTGAAGTGGGTTTAAACAGAGTTGAGGATTTGCAAGAGGCTGTTGACAGACTTTCAGCTAGCATTCAAAGAGCCAAAGCAAAGATCTTAGGACAAGAACCTGCACCCATTGAACAAGAGGTGGCTAATCATGCCTTTCATCTTTGTATCCATGGCATGTTACTGAAAAGTAATTCTTCATTTCTAAAAATGGATTGGTTTTCAAAGATTTTCTTTCCCTCTCTATTTTAGAGCAAAGAGCCCTCCTTTCCTCTGTTGGACATACCAGATGAAATGTTGACCCCAGATCAGCTAGCAATTAAAAAACGACAAAAAATCCTCAAAAGTGCGAGAGAAGGCAGAAAAAAGGCTTTGGCACTTCAGAGGGAAAAAAGACTGAAGGTAAAAAACAGTAGCCTTTGTCTGCACTGCTTCCTTATTTCCGAAGCTATAAGGTTTTGCTTTATCTAAATATATATATATAGTAGAAATATTTTGAGATAATGACTATATGAAGTAAAAAATAATATTAATACATGTACCTGTAATATAGTACCACTATTATAGTACATGTTTTAATAATCTGGGTAAATAAAAATGATATTTTGTAATAGATAGACATATTTTAAAAGAATTAATTTTTATTACATAAACAGCATGAAACATTATTTAATTACTATACAGGAAAAGGAGGAAGAAAAAAAACTTGAAGAAAGAAAGAGGGTAGATTTCAATGGGTGGCTAATGGAGGTCAGGGCCAAGCGACAAGTAAGTTACGACATTTGTCTGGGTTGTTTTTTTTTAACCATTATAGTTCTATTTTGAACAAAGGATTACTCTTTGAATAGCTTACAAAGACGAGCTGGTTAAAGTTTAATACATAAAGTTGTTCAGCAATGTATAAAGAACTGTTTATTTTTACATCAAATGTCTGAATAATTATGTTACAAAAATATGTTTTTTTTTATTATATATGCAATGATTAAGTAAACCTAATGGTTTAAAATATGTTTTAGAAAATTTTAGATTCTCGTAATGCAAGGAGACAGAAGAAATCTGATATGACAAAAAGAAGAACCTATGCCTCGCAACAAAGAATGAGAATAATATCACAACTTGCTGCACGTATGTTCATTCATAGATAAATCTTAGTCCTGTAGTTACCAATATGTAGTTGAACTTGAATATGATTGTGTTAGATAATTTTTGGTTTACTAACATGTTAAATTAGAGATTTTATTGTGCACCACTTTTCTTTTGAAATTTTTATTAGAATTCTAGTAAAATCTGACCAAACCACTAGAAAATTAATGTACAAAATTTGTTAATACAAAATCAATCCTTTTTCTTGATTACATTCCAAAATAATTTGATGCATCTTGCAGAGCCTTCCAAGAAGGGAGACAACTTTGGACAAAATGATGCAGACTGGGATGTGTATAAAGAAATTGTAAATTTATTTTCTATCTCTAATTATTTTACTGTTTGACATTTATATAAAACAACATTTTTTTAAATGTACAAAGACAAGAGGGTTCCACTGATTATTTAGCTTTTAAAAATCATGGATATATTGATACCATATTATTATTATACTTATTTGTAGATTAAGTTTCATTACTTCATTAATTGAATGATCTTTCTGAAGAATCGAGAAGGTGGAACCAGCGACTCTGATGCCGAAGAAGAAAAGTTGGAAGAGTTGGAGACAATTTTAAAAGAACATGACCCTGAATTTCAAAAGTAAGTCTAAAAGTATTACTAGGGCTTTTTTGAAAAATGACCAGTTATTTCTATGAAACAGGTGAGCTCTACTTCATCTGCTCTATTGCATGTAAGGTTTACTTAATAGTTTACAAATTTCTATTTACTGCAGCTTTTCTCGTTATAAAAAAATTACATGTACACCAATAGGCTTATACTATCATATTAAGATTTTTTCTGGAGATATTGCTTTCAAAAAGTGTGGGGTTGGACCAGTACTACGATCAAGATTTGAGTATGGAGACTTTACAAAATAGTTGTTTTATACAACCTACCAGTGTTTAAATATCTAGACATCAGATTTAATTTTAGACAAGTCAATCATGATGATGATGGTATAAAATAATGATATATTGTATTCTTCAGAGATCTGGATATGGGAGGACTCTCAGGAGAATTTGATGTTGCTGAGTACTACAGACTCCATCTGGGTGTTGAGCGGATGAGGTTTGTTTGTTTACAGCAGTCTCTCCCTTCCTTTTAAAGCAGTATATGTGTCAAAAAATAAAAAATTAGAATATTCAGAACATCGAGATATTTGATGTTTTTGTCTATTATCTCTTGTGTTTTTATGGGACATCAAGCAAAAAGTATTGTTTTAAGCTTCGTTTTGGAAAAAGGAAATAACTTTTACATAGAACTTGTCTATTTTCTTTTGTGGCTTACACACACATGGCAGAGGCCAACTAATCTTTGTTTCTAGGTGCTTTTTGTTGTAATGCCTCCTTCTGTCTTCCCAGAGTTCCAGAGCTTCTCTTCCAACCCTCCATGCTAGGACTTGAACAGGCTGGCCTGACTGAGACAATGGAATTTATCCTGGGAAAACTCAGTGCAGACATTCAAGACAGAGTTGTGAAGGTACATCCCACATTAACATTTTTGCATCCCAGTCATTAAAACTAATAATAAAACAATTATTGATAAATTGGGGCAGCAAAACATGTAACATATAATCTATTTTTTAAAATTATTTCAATCTAATCTTTGATTGAGAAATTTTTATCTCTACAATACAGTATGTGTTTCTAACTGGAGGAAATGCCAACTTCATAAACTTTAAGGATAGAATCGATAAAGAATTGTTACAAATGAGACCTTTCCAAAGCTCTTACAACATTTTTTCTGCAGGTAAGTGTTATTTTACACGTTTTGTAGTTTTGTCAAACTGTCATATGTGATTAATTCAAGTGGGTTTTTTTTTAGTAGCAGATAGCCTACCATCCCACTTCTAGGTAACCTTCCAGATAACTCATTCATGAGTTAATTCTATGATTGTGTCAATGTAAACTTTATTGTGTCATCCTTGTTGATCTGATTTCAAAACTTTAGTGGCTGTCACCAGTTTACTCTATTAACTCTCCTAATGGAAGATTCCTCCTTTTTTCGGGACGAGTTATCCATATTACTCTTTGTCTCTGTAGCCATTGGTTAAAGAGTTGTCAGCCTTTATCCCAACCCACCTCCTCCCTGCCAAATGCATGGAACCAGCTACATTTAATTATATAAATTTACAATGGAAATATATGCAATCTTTTTTTACATATTAATTATTATCTTTCTCTTGAATTATCTGCGAATTTTATTTCTTTACAATTTTGATTAAAAAGGAATGCATTTTAACTCTGACTAAATTATTTTAATTAAATTTTCCAGCCAATCCAAGTTTAGACGCCTGGTATGGTGCTCGTAAATTTGCGCTGTCACCCCAGTTTGCAAATAGTTGTATCACAAGAAAAGAGTATGAAGAAATGGGGGAAGGCTATTTCCGTGAACATGTGGCATCCAACAAATATTTCCCAACACCTATAGTTACAACACTTTGAAGTTTTGTCTTGTTACTGTTAATTCTGGTTTTTTTTTTAATTACACACTTTGTACTGTAATTGTAATATAATAAATGTAGCTTTAAATTTTTCTTTGTTGACTTAATTTACCTGTTGCCTATCTTACGATAAATTTAAATTAGAGTACATCGACACATTTTAAAAGTGACGCTGATTCTTTTTTATATTGACAAATAAAAAATACTCCCACTAAAAGTAATAGGTAACTACTCACATATTGAAATTGACAATATGTTGCATGCCACCCTTTGGGGTATAGTTTTGTGTAGTATTATACTATACATTTTGATTTTTGCCTTGGGTGCAAAATTAAATAAACAGTATAATTAGACTTATGTAATGGGAACATTTATTTCAGCAACAGTTTTTAAATTTTAAAAGGTAAGTTTAAAAATATGCCCAATGGGCATATTTTAAAACTTACCTTTTAAAATTATAGTCATTTAAATAGTAGTGTATAATTTAGTTTCTTCTTTTTAGTGCATTATTACATAAAAGCTTGTTATTAAAACGTTTTTTATGAAATTTTTAAATGTACCAACTTGGGAACAGAACAAAACCAAACACAAAAGAAAACAATGCAAACGCAAAAAAAAAAAACAACAAAAAAACGCAACACTGAAAAGTAAACAATGCAAACAATTACAAACAAACAAACAACAGACAAATACTAAAGAAAACACAACTCAAAAGAAAATGCAAAAAAAAAACGCAACACCCAAATGCTAACACATAAGAAAACGCAAACGCTTTATGCCAACAATAATGCTATCAATGACGTCTGCGCAATTTACATTAACATTTTTTTTAACTTAAATAGCAATATTTAGCTGGAGTTGAATGTCTTTTTTAAAAATTACCTCCCCTAGCAAAATTATTAAACATTTTAATTAATTCGAGGGTTTTTTTTTCGACCCTGCTATTAAAATGTATCCATTTTTTTTCTAGGAATATTATATAAGCGAAAAGTTTATTTGAAATTGATCTGTTTAATAAGTTTTAGCAATGTGCGTGAATTTAATATTTCCACGTTCTTTTGTTGACGTATGCGAAAGAGTAAAAACTTTGCCGACAATAAAAAAAAATTAAGTCATTACACAAATAAACTCACGACATATTGCAATTATTGGCTCCCGACAAATGGACACACGACATATAGCCAAAATTGTATGACTATGACTTTCGACATAGATGCAATCATTTTATCTAACCCACCAATTTCCTACCGCCAATACCAATATAATCCCTTTTATTTGCCTGAATGGAAAACTTATTCGAGAACAGCAATTTATTAACAAATGGATCTCTTAACAGCTATATTCCGCAATTTAAAAAAAATGATAGTTTTATTTACAACCGTGAAACTATGTGGCTAAATTCGAGAACATGTGTAAATGTATACTATAGGCCTACATGATGTTAATTGGATACACAACGTTTTGTTTTGATACCCTACAAGTAGCCTATACTGCAGATATATGTACAGAGTGGACCTCTCCCCACACAATGAATTGTAACTGTCTCTACAACCGACTGATTTAATGGAAGTCATAGCTAGATGGCCCATTTATAAAATACTAATTCGTAAACTAGATTTAAAAAATAAGGCCTGTCAAACAATGGTGTGGGGTTTAAGCTAACTCTAAAGAGTATTGATGAAGGGGTCCACCTAGCAGGTGTCATATTCAATTAGACCGTTTCACCGGGAGACTTTGTCTCTGCGGAAACCGTATTGACAGGGGCCCTTTTGTCGGGAGCCAAAATGTCGGGAGTCGAAATGACTTGTATCGTTTTGTCGGGAGATCAAAATGACGGGTGCTATTTGTCGGGAGTTGTAATAACGGGAGCCATTTTGTCAAGAGCCTAAGTGCCTGGGGCCGTTTTGCCGTAAGCCAAAATGGCGGGAGCCTGTTTGTCGGTAGTCGTAATAACGGGAGCCGTTTTGCCGGGAGCCTATATGTCGCGAGTCAATATGACAGGAGCCCATTAGACGGGAGCTTATATATATATATATATATATATATATATATATATATATATATATATATATATATATATATATATATATATATATCAGGGCCCTTTTGACGGGGCTATTTTGACTGGGTCGGTTTGTCGGAGCCGTTTTGTCACCCGCCGTTTTGACGGTGCACCGAATAAAAGCTTACAGTTATAATTTTAATTAAGGAGTGATGCTGCAAACTACAATAGTAGGCCTTTAGTCGTGGGTAACTCACTCAAGTTACACTTTATGTGTAGCGTGGTCCTATGGCCTCTACACAAATTAACTAAAAGTAACGGATCTTACCTATGTTAAGTAATCGGTTTTTTAATCTGCATTCGAGTTTTAATTTGATAAAGAAAAAAACTAGTAGTTTACCACTGTTTTTAATAAATGGCTTCAAATATTGACACGAAGATGTACAAATCTTTAAAAGCTAACCTAGTCGTGTGATCTAATTGATAAAAGATAATAAAGTAACGATAGAAGTAAATATAAAAATAATGCAGCAGAACGATCTCCAGTGACTATGAGAAACAACGAACAAGTCTCATTTAGAATCCTTGGCGCTAACAGGATGTTGCGTAATTTATTCTGATTAATAGGTTGCAAAATACATCCGTATTACTTAGTATTAGTAATTTATAGGTACACTCCTTAAAGATACTGACATGATAATTGGACGTTTGTTCAAGTCATTTTAGAGATCGTGCATTAATTAATAACTCGAGGGTTGCAGTGATCAGTGGCGTAGCGAGGTCGGGTGTCACCCGGTGCGGCACTGAGTGGTGTCACCCCTTAGAGGCGTAGCAACCCTTCCCGGGGACAAACTTTCAATTTTCGATTTGCACCCCCCCTCCTCAAACTTTCGATTTGCACCTCTTAAAAGACTATTTAGAGCTCGAATTAATCACTTAATTAAGTAGAATTATCATTTTTTTCTCTAAATGGTGTCACCCGGTCCGTTCCGCACCCCCCCTCGCCACACCTCTGGCAGTGATTCATTTGCAATGTTATGTGGGGTGGTGGTCAATCGAGCCGTGTTATATAACCCTATGCAAAACAGGGTAATACTTTTAAAAATAAATAATGACAAATGTTTCTACTCTATTATTTCCATATTATTTGAAGACATTTAATTACATGTGAATAACTATTTTAAAATTGCACGCGAGTAGTGGCGGCTGTTTGAAATAACAGATAGATAGATCTGTGTCCCAAGAGTTCATTATTCGATTGCAGAAGGGGGTGGGTGAGAAGTTGGATTGATTTTTTATGGGGCCTTGACTCCTGTGGATGTTATTAAAATTGTTTTGTAACGTTATGTGGTTAAGGGTTGTAACGTTCCCTTTCGAACCTGACGGCCCATGGGGCAAGTGGAGTAGAGTTTACCACCAAGCACGTAAGCCGATTCTCTAGCCATTAACTTTAAGTAGATGCTACCAATCAACTCCTTCTTGAGCTTATACGCGTGCTGCTCTTAGGGGCGGTGTGGCTGGTAGAGTTTCTTCCAGGCATCTCTTCACCCCCCTCCCGAACGAGATGGAATTTATATAGTAAACATAAACTTTTACTATTGTCCCCCCCCCCCCCCCCCCGAAAATATCAAGTGCACCCCCGGAGAAAAAAGTCTGGAAGAGACACTGGTGGCTGGATAGAGCTTGCGACTGCTAACCCGAAAGTCTCGGGTTTGGATCCCGGGCTCGAGTCCGTAAGACTTCTTTGAGTGCACCCAGTTCCAATGGGTACCTGGCAGACGTTAGGTGCAGTTTTGACCACACTTTCCCCTTGTATGCCGAGGTAACTAAAACATATGTTTTGTTTGGGTAAAGATAGATTAATTAATCAATTAGAAACATCTCAAATAAGTGGTATCAGTAATAGGCTACGTTCCATTGATGTGGTTAGTTAGTTTTCAATCAGCAGATGATTTATTTTACAATTAATAGATCAAGATCAATAAGTTACTTGATCTAATATTAGACTACTATCTAGAATCTAGTAAATTTTTCTATTAAATAATTAATAGTTTCAAAATGCGTCAACTCCACATAACATGCGATTTTTCATTTACGCATTTCTATACGGCATACGGGTTATAGGTAATGTATTTTGCATATTATGTTGCTAATGCGGGGCTTTGATTATTAATTTATTTTTATTTGAACAATAAAAGTACATTTGGATCTTGCTGCTCGGTAAAAATGTCTTTTAATCGATCTGTGCTGAGCTAGGCTAGTTCAGGGTGGTTGGAACCCGAAAAAAACCCTGACCCAGTTAGGGGATGCTTTATCGAGTACGATAATTGTACTGCCGCGATTCTGATATTAATACTACAGGAAACATTTAAGAATCGAATAGGCCTCTTGCAAAAATAGCCTACGATACTTATTTACAACTACTTTTTACTTGCCAGGTAGGAACTCCCATTATTTTTGTTGTCACATTATTTTTGTTGTGAATAATTATTAAGAAAAGTTTTAAAGACAATCACTTGTTTGCCTAATACAATTGAAGTTATTTTCGAAAATGCTTGTTTATTTGGGAATATGCTAGAACTGTGATTTGAGATGTTGTATAAAATAAATAAAGTTCTAAGCTTCTTTTTTTGACTTATGATGACCAAGTTATCCTTGAGCCTGGCATTCACTGAGTGTCAGAAGACATCCATATTTATGTCCGGTTTCTAAATGTGGGATGTTGTTGTTTTCTCGAATTTCATTAACATTTTCCATTTAATTTGATGAAAAGATATGGTATGTTATATTATTTAAAATAATTTTTTCATACTTGATTTAATAATTATATTGTGTTCCACACGTATTTAGAAATGCAGCAGATTCTAGTGTAGTCTAAGATTGTGATTGTGAAAGTCAACTTCAAGAAAACTTCCGATTCAACTTGGAACTTTGAGTTTGAGCTGAGACGCAAAAAAGTTGCACCACGCATTATTATTTTTGTTTATCATCTAAACTAGTGTTTTTAAAGTGTTTTAAAGTTCTGTTTGACTGTAGTTGAAGTGGCTTCCACATGTTAATTTGACTTGATTTAAAAATAATTATGATGTAGGCCTAGGCTACATTCTTCTAGATTAGCTAGCAGTCTTGTTAGAAGTCAAAGTGAAAGACAGCCCATTCTCTCTCTTGGGAGAGAGTTGGGGGGCTGTGTGGGGGTTTGAAGGAATGATCTTGGGCATGAGCATCTGGTTGTGTTAACATTTGTGGGCATTTAATTAAATTGTCCTAATTTCAAACAAGACTTAAGTAGTGTAGGGCCTATACACATAGATGACTTAAAAAGTTCTAATATTTTGTAGGCCTTTTTAGACATTAGGCTGCATAAGCCTAATTAATAATTATTTGTCAATCAATGCCATACAGCTTAGTCTTAGCCAGCTCATATAATCTAGTCAAATATCAAACAAATGCTAAAGAATACTTGAAACTAAATCGTAATGTGGTAGGTAACCTGTTAATGACATATTTATTCATTCACACTTTTTTTTCTTCAGTTTTCTTATGGATTACATTGTAAATGTGCAAGTCTTCTTGGCACATCAAAAGTGCGGAAGAAGATGCAACTCTGGATTAAGTGAAAATTGAATTTCTTCTGAAATTGTTTATTGTACAAGTCTACGATAAATCACAAATTTAAAACATTTGCTTGTGTTATTTCTTAAGAAAGAAACACATCTTTAGACATATTTTTTAGACATTCAGTATGCCTTTTCAAGGATTACCTTGGACTGAATTCATATCTTGTCCAGTTTGTTTTATACTATTCAATGAACTGCAGCAACGGCCTATTTCATTAGGGTGTGGGCACACAGTCTGTAAGTCCTGTATTAGAAGTCGTCTAAATGATAACCGGTAAGTTTGCTTTACTACCTGGTTGTTACTATCTAAATAAAATAATAATTCAATTTTAGAAATGATTGCTTAGAATTTTTGTCCCTAAGACTAACAGTTTTTATCATGTTGACTAAACAATGTGGCTAAGTGTTAATTAAACATTATTTTTCAACAGCTGCCCTTTTGACCAGATCCTTTTGCCGAATGATGTAGATAAATTGCCTGCAAATTTTGCCCTTATGCACCTTGTGGGTGCTGCGGTACCAGAACAGGAGAAGGAAGCTGTTAAAACAGTTTCTGATAATCCTAAGTCATATGAGCAGGCCAGGAAATGTATTGAAGAAATGGCTGTTCATCTGAAGCCTCTTGCTGAAAGTTAGTAGATTACATCATACATTGTTTTGAATTTGTTTTTACTAATATAATCCATTATTATCAATAGAAGCAATGCGCTGTATGTATGTTCAAGTGAATATTTTATGTATTTTGTTTATACCATTAATTTTAGATACTTCAGATGATGACAGTTCTACTTGTAGTGAACCACTGCCCATTAAAGGAAGTCACAGCACTGGCAGTGGGGGCAATAATACTCCTTCTAATAACTCAAAATGTGTCTTGAGTCGCCCTATGCAGCGCAAGCTAATCAGTTTGATACATTGTCAACTTCTCGAAGAAGAGGGTAGGTCACGTGCTGCCCGCATTGCACGTTCACTCGGGGAGAGGATTGTATCAGAGCTGCTTATTCTACATCAGTACCCTCATCAGTTATCTGCCAACTTATGGGCTGCAGTAAGGACAAGGGGATGTCAATTTTTGGGTCCAGGTATGTAGACCATGATTTTATATTAACCTTCTTGGGACTGGTTTTTATTGGAACACTTATATTGCTAATATCTCAATATTTATTTAAATGAGTTTCCTGATTTAAGTAGTTTATGCCTATAAGTATATTAGATACACTTACAAAATTTTAGTGATGTTTTGGTCTAATGCATAGGCATCATTTTGATATTTGTTATTATTTTACTATTAGAATTTCTTATAAATACATATTTTATGATTACTTACACAGCAAGTACAAAAGCCCATGCAACATCTGTCTCTTCCCCCTCCCCTCCAACAACAGGAAATGTGTAACTGCTATTATAAATGGCTGGATAATCTAAACTAGCAGGAAGCATTCTTGATTTGACTTATAACCCTCCATTTTTTTTACAGCTATGCAGGAGGAGGTGCTAAAGTTGATTTTACTTGCATTGGAGGATGGTTCATTTCTTTCTCGGAAAGTCTTGGTACTGTTTGTTGTTCAAAGATTGGAGGCAAGATACCCTCAAGCTTCTAAAACAGCTATTGGGCATGTTGTTCAGCTATTGTACAGGGCTTCTTGTTTCAAGGTAAAACCTCAATAAAATCAAAATCAATACTTGTTTGTCTTAGTCACTTTATTTTTTTAAGGAACCATTTTTTGGTAAGATGACCATAAAGATACTTGTTACTTAAAAGATAGTCATGTACTGTATAATTTGGTTTTTCTTATGTTCATAGGTATTAAAACGTGAGGAAGAGTCATCATTAATGCAGCTGAAAGAAGAGTTCCGACAGTATGAATCATTACGCAGAGAACATGATTCACAGATTGTTCAAATAGCCATTGAAGCTGGGCTAAGAATTTCACCTGAACAGTGGTCTTCATTGTTATATGGAGATCCAGCCCATAAATCTCATATGCAATCTATTATTGATAAGGTAATGGAGTTGAATACATATCTTAATGTTGTTCTTGCACAGCTAATAGATGTTGAAAGTATCTTGTGTGTTTTAATATGTATATTGTTTCTGTTTGTAGCACCAGAGTCCACAGTCATTTGCTCAGAGCATAGCTGAGTTGATGTTGACTCTACAGAGAAGCAGCGACCATACTGGTCTACAAAAACTACAGCCACAGTTGGAGTTTCTCTCTAATATAGACCCCAATCCAGGTAACACAATCTAGCCTGTTTCTATTATTTTTTTACTTATCTCATTACATTATCCTTTTTAGTGAGGTTCTGTTAGTGTCTGAGCATTATTTCAGCTTTATTCTCTCCCCATTAGATTGTCCTGCTCCTTCTTGGGAAAATCTGGAAGCGATCATGAGATCCCTGAACACAGTCATGTCAACTTTTGTTGAGTTTCTGTCAAATCCGGATCATAGGTCTCGTTTAGAAGCAGCACCTATTCAAAACACTCGCTACAAGACCTCCATGTGTAGAGATTTTTCAGCAAGAGGAACCTGTCCTCGGGGGAACACTTGCACTTTCGCACACTCTCAGGAGGAGTTGGAGCGGTAAATTGTTTGATTTAAAAAATATTTATAAAATTACATGGCAATCTTTGCATCTTTGTTTTTTGTGGTATTCAAATAACTACAATTTGGACTTAAACAATGCGTTATTCTCTAGTTACAGATCAAGATCTCGAAGGAATGGCAGCAGAGGAGTTGTGGGTATTTCAGAGAAAACATCATCATCTTTGACCCCTTCAGAAAGTGACCAGTTAAGACAAGTACAACTAATATCCAAATTGAAAATGGAAGCAGTTGCCAAGAGCACTTGTCTCAAGCCACTGGTGAAGTCTCATTCTGTTGTAGAGCTGCTAGATCCTAAACTTTCTCCCAGGTACATTCTTCACTGTTCAGGCTGTAAAAATACTCTTTTAAAATGATTGTATTATAAAATTTTTATTTTTTATGGTGAACTGATTGTTAATTTATTTGTACAGCTCTACAGTCATACCATTGGGACAGCCCCCTATGGGAGTTATGTTACCTCATCAGAAACCTGGCATGCCTTTAATTGGTCCTATGGATCCAAGGCTTGCCACCAAGCAGCTGGACCCTGAGAAACCACCATTTATACCACCTGTCCCTACTCACATCACTGATACACATTTAACCTTCAGTCGTTCTGTTGTAGATTGTAAGTATTCATAGTTTTAACTGGTGTATTTGTTTATACTTAATTGTTTGCATCAGGAAAGTATCTTTAAGTACGTTTCCTAATTTATTTCCAGCCTCTGATGGAACCACACTCTCAGCAATAGGTCCTCCAGGTTGTCTTTATCCTCACACTGCAAATGGATATCCTCAACTTCAGGGCCCCCCACCATCCAGCCCATATGGTGGTAACCTACCTGTGCCTCAGTTTCCCACACACTCCCTGCCCTCTAACCCCGCTTTAAGATCTGCAATACCATCCCTCCCCCCTCCCATGACCCCTGGGCATATCCCCAGGAACACAACTATAACAAGATCTTCAAATGTTCACATCTCCACTGAGGCTGGTTTACCATCTATGACCATGGATCCTACCAGCATGTGTACAGGAAGTGTACCATGTGCTATGGCAGATGGTAGTGATGCTGTACTGCGCACTTTGCCACCAGGCTACCATACTTTGCCATACAGTTCACAGGTGTGTTGATTTCTCATTAGTTTTTAATAAACCGTTTGAACCTTTATGTATAATTTTTTAAAATAAGAAGATCCTCCTCTTGCTGATGACCTAGAATAATGTATTAAATAGTTTATAGTTTAGGGACAGTTGCAGTATTGGTTTTGATAAGCTTGTTCTGTAATCTTTTTAAAAAAGTCTTGTTAAAAATTATTATAGAGCTGGCCTGAAATTAAATAATTTACCTTATAACATAATTGCAGGGTGCTACTATAGTGGGGAGAAACATTTTATTCCAAGGTCATTTACCACTTTTACACAATATCTACAAGCCAAGTGATAAAATTAAATATTCATGTGACATCACTATTTTTCCAAGGATATTTTCTTTTTTGTTGCTGATATACTTGGTAAACAAGAATCAGTCAAATTGGAAAAAACCCCAAATTTCAAGTTTGAATTAACTATACCTTGGTCAATAGTGTTCTGGTAGGCTACCATTTTCTGGGACTGAACATTTTAGATATGTGTCTGACTAATTATTATTCTGGCCTGTCTCTTTTTTGTTATAGCCCAGGGCACATGGGGCAGGGGAAGTAGAGTTATTCTTTTATGACCTATGCATATAAGAGGATAGTGTTATTAGTGCAATTCCCAATAGCCTTGGTTTTCCTTAATATGAGCCAGGTACCTATCAGAGCTTGAGTTCATGATCTGAAAAAGAAACTTTCTGGTTAATAGCTGTGTTCTACCATCCCACTATATGGCCTTTGTCTACCCAACATTTTAACATTTAAAAGGCTTATCTTCTTTAGTAATACATTCATCTCTATTACATTGTTTTTATCAATGAACACAAATAAAATTAATTAGATGATTTAACTTTTTCTTAAATAACAGTTGACATATATACCTTACTTGCCAGGTATTTACTGGTAACATCTATTTCCTGAAAGATTTCCTTAATTCTTTTTTCAAAGAAAGTAATTGCAAATGAAATGTGTCCCTCCATTTTACTTGATATTTAACTGTTTTGTTGTGTAGATGTTTTTATAGAACCTGTTATGGTAAGTATCAAGTCAGTTCCGCGGGCAAGAAGTTTATGATCTCTGAAGTAAGTAGTTGAGAGGCCATCCTGTAGGATGTTTTGGTATAGCCTTAATAGCCCGCCTTTTCATTATGGCGGTGTTTCAGAATCTTTCAGAGTTTTCATTCTTGATGAGGCTGAGGTTCATCTGCGTTTGAGTGTCACCATCTGAAAGCTCAGGGAACTTAACTCTGAAAGTTTTTAAAAAGTTGACAGGTATTTGCTTTCACTAATTCTCATAGTAAAGAGGTTAGGGAAGAAATTCTTCATCACATAGTACATGAGCAGGTTCTTGAGTTTTAATTCCAATATAGGTTGTAGCATACTTTTGGTCTGCTACTCAAATAATTTTGGTTTCTTAATGTGTATGTTCTATCTAGTAAGGCCATACCAAAACAAAAGCGAGTTCACTTTCATCTTTTTTTTTTCCTTGAGAAAAAGTCTGACAAAGTACGCCATACTTACCTGTTAAGTTAATCTTCATGTTTTCAGGATTTTATTTTGTATCGTCCATAGTGAGGTTACTGACGAGGAGAAATATATTTTAAAAAAAAATCATTTTGCTCTTGTTGGGTATGCCGTTTTCATTTAATTTTCTCACGATGTATAAAATTTTGTGTTAGCTATCACAGGGAGACAGCCTTGAAGATCTCACCAATCGCAAACAAGAGATCATCTCCCACCTGCAAGAAGAACCAATGTTCATGGATGCCACCATCTACAATGGAAGTTCTGCAAAAGGAGGCTATCCTGGACTTACATCAGTTCTTGCCTCCAACGCCAAGAGCAGGAGTGTTGAGTCCATGCCTAAACATGTTTCTGACATGTATGTTGTCACACGATCAACACAGTTTCTAGACGACTTGCGTAAGTTTCATTACTTTGTCACAAGTTACTTCTTTAAAAAAATTCATTACAGCTGTGTCTTGTTATAGATGTAAATACAATTTAAATACAGCTTACGTTTAAAACATATTAATATATTTCACACTTTGTATAAGAATTATCTTTTAAATTGACCTTAGTGAATGAAGATAATACCCCTTATTCAACGAGATGGTCTAACGGAGATGATAGTGCAGGTGCACCTGATGACCTGTCTTATGATCCCTCAGCCAGAGGATCTTTACCTGATAGTTCAACTACCAACAGCATTTCTTTCTCTACTGCTGTCCCTACCAGTACAGCCTGTTTGAATGAAACAGTGAGTATTCATTTTATACCTCTCTAGTCCTCTCCCTGTAGTTCATTACTGTTTATTTCAAAGGCATTTATTCTGAACCTTGTCTTTACCAGCAGGCTGGTACAAACAAACTGTACAACTCATTTAATTCAGTGCCCAACTCGGAGCCCAATCTCCCTGTACCTGGTGCTGGGGGTGATGCTGAGTTTTGCAGGTATGTTGTTGTATTTTTTTAATACCTTCATTTAACTGCAGAAACTAATCTTGATTTTTTTCCATGTATTGGGACTTATAGTTTTAGAAATCCAATATTAAATCTGCTTATAAAATTTAACTCGAGTATCACTCAGTTTAAAATTTGAAGTGCAAGTTTTTTTTTTTTTTCAGTTTTCCTGGTGATGATGGTGATGAAAGTTTCATTCCTTTTGAGCACACGTGTGTGTCCAAATTTGGGCCAATATCTCGCATGAACAGGATGAAAATGCTCAACTCAGCCCCAGTTCAAGTCACTGCAGATGTAAGTCCTCTGTTTATTTCATTGAGGGGTTTGATGTAGGACTCCTTTATAGTCTATGTTTTTTTATAAAGATTTTACAACCTGTCAAAACTGTTGCTGTTGAGATTCTTTGAATACAATAGTCCCATTCATCCCAACAGATGACCCCAGTAGTGGCTGTAACGCCAATGGACAGACCAGTGACCTCCTCCATGACAGCCCCAAGCAGGTTTTCAACACCTTCCCAGATGGAAGGTATGGATTTCTCTGTCAGGCCTACACCATCAGAGATCCCGTCTATCTGGAAGTGAGTGTCAAACATTTTGCCCATTGCTCATTTTAATTTGGTATTGTTTATTTAGCACTCTATGATTAGTAATGTAAAGAGAGTAATAGTAAAAAAAAAATATAAAAATTATTATGAGTTTTGTATTCTTCCTTTTGTGAGATATTAGCATGTTAAAAGATTTAAATAATTTCTTTCTTTTGTGAAATATTAGTTAGTTAAAAGCTTGAAATGGTTTCTTGAATTTGATTTAAAAAAAAATGTCCTCAGCAAAAGTCCTCAGCCAACATATTCCAACATAGCTCGTCTGAAAGCTGGAGCTGCAGGAGCTGTTTCTCATAATGAGAGACTCGCTTATGAACTTCAGGCTATTGAGCTGGAGATATCCTTGGTCAGTTTTTGTAGTTAATTACGTTATTGAGAATTTCAGGCATATCATCCAATGATCTCACTAACTTTTATTTTGTATAAGTTTATTCAATAAAAGAGTACTTACTCTCAGTAACATTTAGATAAAAATTTTTTTTTACAGAAAACTGGTAGAGAGCCTGAACCTGTGAGGAAAATTATACAAGAGGCAGTGATGGCTTCATCAAATCATGGCATAGGACAGAGGGGTTACGCTGCAATTGATTTTAACAGGAGCATCAGTGTCCCTGCTGTCATGTCAAAACCAGATCGCTCAAAACCGGTAATTATGTGGGGCTGCAAAACCATGAATATTTTTTTATCTAAATGTCTACAGTATAATAAAAAAAAGCTTTTTTAAAAACACTTTTTTGGCACTTTGGGGTCAGCGTCCAGTGTGGCTGTCCTCCTTGCCCCCTGGCTTTGCCACTGGTTCTAACATAAAATTAGTGGGGTTGTTTGTGGTGATAGTGATAAACTTTATGGAATAAGAAGTTGTATTCAATAAAATTGTGTTCAATCAACATCCAAGCTTATTCCTTGACAAGGCGACCCTGATTGGTTATCACTGGTCATATAGTTAGGTTGTCCAAAGTTTTGTAGCTCTCTAGCCTTGCTATATTTATAACATTGCATCATGCCTTGTTTTTTTTTTAAATTGCAGAGCATGAATGCCCAGAGGACTGCCCAGAGATTTTAGGAAGATTACAATAGATCTTGTCATGGTTAGTTTGGTACTGTATTTCTTTGCAGTTTTGTACCTAAAGCTTTGGTAGATATTTATAGATAAATATCATTTATCATTATTCATATAGATAATTTATCATTATCATATAGATAAATATCATTTTTCTTATTGTCTTCATTTCAGGTGTGAAGAAATAATTGGTGCTGACAATAAAGTGTATCACTTTGCAAAAGCTGAAAATCTCTTGAAGATTCCTTTTTAATGAGGGAGGAGAGACATTGGCCGTTACATATGATTGGTTGAACTGAAGAGAAATGTAAACAACATTGTGGTTGCTCTAATCACCAGGAGGAAAGTCAACAACCACATGTAGTTTTATAGACACCACATTTAGAGATGAGAGTTGCTTTGTTTTTTATTTAAAATATTACTTTGCTTTATGTTTTTATAGAGCACAATAGTTAACATGAACGCAAGAAGAAAAGCAAGGCTGGGTTAACTATGAAAAAAAATGTTGCTAGGAGGTTTCTGTAAGGTTCTTCATATTGAAGAGATTTATATTACACTGTATAGCAATATGTTCTCAGGATTTGCCAGCTTTTTTAGTTACCAAATTGTTACTGAATTGTGATTGTCCTTGCTTTAAAATGCTAAATAGCTTGCAGCAATATTCTTTGCTTTTCTTTCTAATTTCATGTTATTTTGAAATGTAACATTTCCTGGAAATTTGAGATTGTTTGGGATGGGAAATTTCCACAAAGTTATCAGTTTCATTTTTTTTAAAACTGAAATTTTTTAAAAGAGGCATTTTTGGCTGATGTTCTGATTGTTTTATTGAACCTGTGTTGTTCCAGCCTGTTTTACGTTCTATTTTAGTGGTAATATTCATTGTAACCTCTGCTAAATGTTAGTGATTTCTGTAAATATTTTATTCCTTGTTTCTTCATAAACATTTTGATTACAACCTTTGACCCATGAACCAAGAGTTCATGTTTTATTTTCTACTTTGTGATTCCATTGTAGAATCTGTTTTGCCTGTAACATTCATTTTATAATGCTGACTTGTAAGTTTCTTGCGAGTTTGTATGAAAAGGTACAATTTTCTGCATCAATGTTATACTGTGATCTTGTGTAACTAGTGATTTATTTCTGTAACCTGTAACTCACAAAGCTCTTCATTTAAAAAGTAGTTCATATTTATTTTACCAGTCTTGTTACTTATTCCTTGCTGCTATTTTAATTCTTGTAGTTGTAATTATGTCACTTGCTGAAAATAATAGTTATCATACTGCAAATGTTTGAGTATCAAATTACTGTTAATTTGCCTACTGGCTGATTATTATATTTTTCAATCCTGTTCATTAATTTGCTGTTGTCTAGGTTTTGTCAAGGTAACAAATCATCACCAATAGTTTTATAAGTTAACAATGGTGAGGTTGTTTCGCCATTTATTTTTTGTTTTTTTCAATTGATTGCACAAGTGGTAGATCTGCAGGTTCTGTTCGACTAATATTAGCTTTAATAAAGCTGTGTTCAGTTTGTCAACGGATAATTTTTATTTCAAGTTTCCCTGAGATGGCTTCTGTCCTGGAGAAACTGCTCAGAAATCATAGCCCTTTTAATTGTTTATTTTAATTAAGAACCACTAACTTGTTATACAAAATTATTTTTCGTGTGTAAGTTGTGATTTTAGTTTTTGCAAAACAATATTTTCATTGTTTGTATTACAATTTTTCAACTCTAAACAGTGTATTAACATGTATTTAGTCTTATTAACATTTAATTCTGTTAATTTTTTTGCTCATTTTAAGCATTTTTATTTTAACATAGAACTTTGCTAGAACAGTTATGCTACACCATGTTTGTGGAGATTTTAAGGTAGTTTAGTATTTGCTTGCAGTAAAGCTGCAGTTACTCATAATCAAGCCTTTGTATCCTATGCTTCTTAACCCCCAGTACTATCATATCTATACGCTTAGCTTGTTGTATACTTCAATTTAAATTGTTGTGCACTATTTTAAAAGGCATTTTTCATCATGGGCTAGCTGACTCTCATTTACTTTTTACTTAGCTCTTTAATTAGAAAAAACATTAATTTAACCAATTTATTTTTGGATACTGTACGTGCTGTTTTAAGCATCACTTTTTTTGTCTAATTAAATCACCTTTCAGTATACGCACGCCCAGATTTTTGTCTAATTAAATAACCATTTAGTAGAGGCATGCCTGGATTTTGTGTAATTAAATAACCATTTAATAGAGGCATACCTGGACTTTGTCTAATTAAATAACCATTTAGTAGAGGCATGCCTGGACTTTGTCTAATTAAATAACCATTCAGTGAAGACGTGTTCAGATTTGTCTAGTTAAATTATCAGCAGTCAGTTTAAGCATGGCCAGGTATCCGAGTTTTATAACAGGTCAATTTTCTGACTTCCCCCTCCAGATGTGCTAAACTAAGCTACCATTGCTGACATGTCCTCACCTGCTGTCAATCTAGTGACGTTGCTTGTGTGTATACCTGCAGGATCTTTCATTTTTTTTTTTGTTGAATTTGATGAATTGTTTATACAAGAGGCAGTATCTGCCAGTTAAGAATTTTGTAACAAAATGTAGGTTTTATGTCTTAAACAAATGATAATCATTTCACAGACCCATGCACAACTTCAACTCTTTAAACATTTTAAAAAAATTTCTAATTCAGCAATTCTGTTCATTTTATTTTAGTTCTGTAAATCTCTGAATGAAAGCTGTATTGAATTTGTGCATGGGTCTTACCTATACTCATTGAGTGAGTGCTTGATTCTATGAATCTTTTGTTGGTTTTTTAATATCCAAACTGGATGTGACTTATTATATTACTGTAGATCCTGGACATATTAAATTGATCTTGGAGTTGTTCAATAGATATTTAGCCTGCAGTATTTTCTTGTTACCCCCTTCAGTAATTTGTGATCATTCGTTTCTTCACACACGGGACATTTTTGGAAGAGTTCAGCTGTAAAGCCTGGTGTGTTGATCTTTAACATCAAACAAATCATGTAACCTTTTGCTTTTATAACTTGGTGTTTTGGTGTCATGTAGCGAATTGTGCAGTGTACATTTTACATTTGTGAAATAAACTTTTGCCAACTGTTGTCAGTGCTTCACTTGTATGTATGTGGTGTTAGAGTGTCCACTATTTCCAACTCCTGGTCAACAAGTTTTTTTATTGTGTGCACAAGAAAACAAAGTTATTGTTCAATTAAGTTTTTTATTAAATATACAGAAAGAATACAATAAAAATATTTACAACGCTTTTAATAAAACAATTGAGCTGAAGTAAGCCTCAACCATAGTTGTCTCCCATGTAACATTACTGGTTTAAATAAAGAATAAGGCACATAATCATGGCAAAAAATAAATGTTGAAAGACAAGCTGTTAGGACTTAAAATAATACAGAAACAAGTGACTCTTAAATAAGCAAAAGTAAAATTGGTACATAAATGAGGGTATTAGTGAGAGAATAAACTTTTGAAGTTGCATATTGACGTTTTCTTCTTGAAATTGTGCAGTTTTTACTGAAATAAATTCGGGCTAAAATCAGTATTGAACTAAAACAATTAGGTCATACTTGTTAAACTGGTTCATGATATTTGTGGGTCATGTTAAACTTCTGTCCCATAACCCACTGGTACATATTTGTGGGACATGGAAGCTAAACCTCTGTCCCATCGTCCCCAGGCACCTGATATTTATGGGATAGCAGCGTTAAAATCTGTTCCAATTTCTCCACCCTGTCCCTTCTTCTGGCGCCCCACCCTTTCTCCCCCCACATCACCAACATGTGAAACTCGGGGCATGCAATCTGTGAGAGCTGGGAGTCCTGGGTCATCTGTGACATCACGGCCTGGCCTTTAGTCCGAAACAAGATGCCATGGGATGCGATGACGCGCGCGGTGTCCAGGTGGGTCAGAAGGACATCGATGGCGCTGCCCACCGGGTCAAGGCCATGTTCCCAGAAATATTCCAGCAGAACTGAGTCTACGTCACGCTCCAAGAGTAGGCACACAGGTGTGATGTAAGGAATACTTTCGTTGTTCAGGGGCAGGTCACTGCTGCCGTCGTTTAGCGATTTATAGAAGGGACGTAACTTAGTGTCGAAATTGTATGCATTGCGAGTATGACTTTGTCTAAGAATGAGCCACGTGTCAGATAGTCTGATAATTTGGGTGCCGGTTAAAGCTGACATTATTGCCGAGAAGCTGTAGAGATTCCCCATGACTATTTTTAGTTCAAAGCAAACTTGCACCCACAAACTCAACATTTTAACCCGCTCCGAAACGTTTTGCGAGGTAAGTAGTGTTACCATAGTAAACAACCGGAGACACTCCCATCTTTCTATAGCATCCTGCCGGAGTTGCTTCCCTTGAGGAAGGGTAAGTAACTCTAATCCTGAGGTGATGCCGAGCCCAATATCTTTTTCTTGAGTTACGTTTAACATATTTAAATCGTACTCAGTCAAATGTATGGCGATGTCTTTAGCACTTTTACCCAACAGGAAAGATTTGACACTCAACAACACCGCCTGGTCTAAAGCCTTATGGCCTTTAGGCAAAAAGCTGCTCTGGAAATTTTCCGGGACAATTTTGGTGAGTGAAACTTTTGGGGGCGTGGCCAGAGTTCGATGTTTGATGTTGTTAAAGCCGAACAAGTTGTCAATGACGTTCTCGCGGGGTATGTCGTAATCCCCGTAACCTTTGACCTCATCAGCGTCAGACTGCTTGCCTTGCTTTAAGCGCGATGACTTGTGAGGTAGAGTCTGGTAGCCTTTGTTTGCCAGATTGTTCGAGTTGGTGTCCAAGGTCGGACTGTTGGGCGTTTGAAACGACCGGCTGCGTGCGACTATTTGGTACGTCGGCGACGGCGGCGGGTTGTCGAGGTCCATTCTCCCAAACTGTTGACCAGCCGGAAAAAGCCGGGAGTTGAGGTTCTGTCCGGGGTTCTGTCCGGTAGTTGGCGTGACCGCGGATTGGTTGACGTTTTGGGGTGGTTGGGTCACTTGAGCCGGGAGGAAAAGTTTCTCCCTGTTGACGCGGTTGGCTTGTCGCCCTTTCTGCGGCTCGGCCGTTGTCGGTCTAAGCATGACTTCCGGTTCTTTATCAACCGGCTGGCCGCTCCCATGCAGCCAACTCGGGGACTCCCTGGCCTGGTAGTAGTCGGAGTAGTCCCGGTCGTCGTCGTCGAGGTTCAAATTCCGTACAACGACCGTCGGCTTCTGCTTGTACTTGACAGATGGTATCCGGCTGGGTTTGGGTGGTGGGGGGTTGGTGAGTTCACTCTCAGAGCTAGCCGACACCAACTTCCGTCTGCCGAGCGTGGAGAACTTTCTCGGTCCGTTGGTCAAGCTGTCCGGCATCAGCGCAGGGACGCTGCCTGCCCGCATGTGAGAGATGCTCGGCTTTAAGCTGTCGTTTTTGGCGTGGGGGTGAGGGGACTCAAGCCCCGACCCCGCGTTAGGTGGGGTAATGTTTATAACTGGTAAACTGTCACATCGGTCTAGAGATGACGACCGGCTTTCACGTTTCCGGTTCGAGTGGGCGTCTTCTTCACTTGAAGTCACGTTTAGTATCGGCTGACTTCCCGTCCATCTGGTATCTCGTCTGTTCATCTCTGGACTCGAACCTGGGCTGTCCGCGGGAGTTATAAACGGACTAGATTTCGGACTTTGGTTAGGCGTGGCGTAAACCCCAGCAGCGAAGTTAACCAAAGCGCCGTACTTGGTGTCGTAGTAGCTCAGGGGCATCGACCGCGGGACTGGGCTGCTGAGAATCGCCCCTGAGACTTGCGTGACGGGCTTGCTGTGTTGTTGGTAGTGTAGAATCAGCTGCTGGATCGTGGGGAAGGCGTCTTCTTCAAACTGGTACGAGACGGGCGGGAGGTTCCCCGGAGCGCAGTCCCCCACAATGGAGTTGATCATAAAACTCAGGGGCGTCCCCTTCCAGCGGCACGTCAGGACAAAGTCCCCTGGTTTAGAGATGCAGTCACGGACTAGGAAGTCACCGTTGTTGACCACCAGAGCTTCGGCCCTCTGTCTGGAGATGTTGCCGTGGTACCAGGGGCGGCTGCGGAGCTCGAGCGGGTCCCCAGCGAGTTCTCTTTGGAGGTCTAAGTTTAGCTTTTCAGGGGAGGCAATCACGTGTTGGTAATCTGGATACGGGGCGGTGGGTGAGTTAGGGGCCCTGGAATGATAAAATAAACCAGTTTAATAATAAATCAGAAACATTACTCATCTAAATACTTAAATTGAACTGCGCATCAATTCAGCAAAGTTTTTAAAATTATACACACTCATAGTTACCACAGATAAACAGTTCCCGGCGAGGCAACTGCGCTTGTTTAAACTTACGGGACACTTCAACATTCACATTGGCAAGGGACTTGTGTTTTTAGTATAATAGCTAAGTAACAAATGTAATCTGACGTCAACTACTGTGTTATGTGCGTTCGTACAAGTGTGTTCATACATGGGTCAACAAAGGGGAAGCCACTCCGAAACATACATCCGTGAGTGTGTGGAACTGTATTAAATGTGGGGTCAGAAACTGTAACTTACGATGATGTGGTACTCGGTGTCCGTTGAAGGGAGAACAACCCACTTCCGGTAACTCGACCTGCAAACAAACAGCAGACGTCAAACTGTTGTAAACCATATTTTAAACCCTACATTTAAAACAGACGTTTGTAGTCTAATAGGGTGAATGATAGAAGACATTAAACTGTTGTAATGTAAAGCATACACTTGAAACAAACGTGTTAGGTCTACTAGGGTGAATGATACAAGTGGACTCTATATCAGTTTACTGTGGATCAGGTCTCATTGCTGACTCTCTAGACACGAACTGATATAAAAAAAATTAGTCTCGTCACAATCTTTCTAGGTTGTGAGCGCCTCAACAGAACTGTTCACCTCCCATAGAGACGCCCCATAATGGACTTATCCGATACACACAGCTGGGTAGTGTACACATGGCATTACCATTTAGAGCAGGGGTCTCCAAACTACGGCCCGCGGGCCGGATGCGGCCCGCGATGTCCTCTCATCCGGCCCGCGGAGATCTTTTTGTCCACGGAAAAAACGTTTGTTGGTGATGGCTGAGGAACTTTGCCTAGAAAAATCAAAGACATGCCTGGAAGAAACTGGCCCCCAAACTAAAATTTGATAGTTAATGCGGCCCTCGGATTGAAAAGTTTGGAGACCCCTGATTTAGAGAGTAGCCTACAGTTGTTACAATTTCAAACAAAGAAACACATCGTTACAACTAATGCCGCTACTACTAGCCTGCGCAAATTTTCTGCGCCACAAAACTTGGTGACATGAGAGCACAAGGGTTCTAATTCAACATTTCCAACACCTACAGTTAGAACACTCTTGCTCTTGTATAGCGACTAGGTTTCACGAACCAAGTACAATCAAGAAAGAACTTATTCTTTAACTGTTGGAAGTTTCTTAATTTCCTACTGCTAATAGCTTTTCTTCTTTTTTGTACGCTACTGAATGAATTAAAACAGTAATTTAAAACTCTAAATGGTATGAGATTAACGTAAAATCAAAAGGCGTTAATCCCGAATTAACTCACCCTTCTCGTACTTGTCACGGAGGATCCTAAGACTTGAGATAATCTTGGCTCGGTGCGCGCCGATTTTGATCCCCAGATTTCTTATCTCCGCCTCGCTGGCGTAGATCAGATCCTGGATGGTTGGAGAGGTTCACATACAAGAGTTAGTATACATATATGCACACATACACACGTTTTCGTATATACACATCCACACAATTTTTAGTATACATACGTACACACATACAGAAGTTTTCGTATATACACCCAAATACGCACAATGTTTAGTATGTTTAGTATACATATATACACATATACACATGCGCACAATGTTTAGTATACATACGTACACACTTACGCATACGCACAATTTTTAAAATACATTTTTACACACATATACACTCTGTCAATTATACATATGAATGCACACTTGTCAAACATGCATACACGTTACGTACACACAGCCCAGTCTATAGATAATGTACACATATACACATAATATCCACATAATATACCGACACATGTATCAACATAATAATATACCAACACATGTATGAATATAATAATATACCAACACATGTATCAACATAATTTTATACCAACACATATATCAACATAATTTTATACTAACACATGTATCAACATAATAATATACCAACACACGTACCAACATAATACTATACCAACACATGTATCAACATAATAATATACCAACACTTACCAACATAATATACCAACACATGTACCAACATAATAATATACCAACACATGTATCAACTTTCAATCAACATAGATCTAGATCTATCTACCCACGTTCAAAAGAAAGTGTCACTTCTAGCTCGCCACTCAGCAGACGATAACAAGCAGACTATCCCGTGTTTTTGGCGGTTAGTTGTTGGTGAGTACTTATGACGCACACACAAGCAGGGGCGGACCCCGCCAATTAGCATACATTTATTGCGTAAATAACCAGTAAAGATACCATACACGTTCCTTCCGTTTTTACCATAATAAAAATGTTTCTAGATGTTTATATGATCAAATATGAAAAATAATACACTAAAATATTTGAAAACCCTAGATTTCATTGCCTCTACGTGTAGAGTTTGTTTTATTGAATAAAAAACAAGGAAGTTGAATGACAAAATTTCAATTAAAGTTTAGCAAGATGAGACCACTGATAGAGAAACGCCCATGCCAGAGGCAGACGGATATAAACACTCGTAGAGACACGATGAGTAAGTGGTCAGTGCAGGGGGGAGGCTGTCTCGCGAGTTTGAGGTGGTGGAGGGGGGGGGGGAAGGGGGGGGGAGCAATGATACAGAGCGGCTTATTTAAATTATGTTCACTTCTGAAACCAACTGTAAAGCTCTTCTACAGAAGAGTTCCTTTAACGAACCCTCACACAATCCCATCTCTAACAACCCCCCCCCCCCACACACAACGAACCCTCACATATAACTCATTTCTCAAATCCCCCGGCTTTATACGATCCCTACATCTAATAACCCCTGCCACCCTGAACCGCAAGCTCTAATGACCCCTCACACACACGACCCCTCACACACACGACCCCAGGCTCTAATGACCCCTCACACACACAACCCCTAGGCTCTATTAACCCCTCACACACACGACCCCTCACACACACGACCCCTCACACACACGACCCCTAGGCTCTATTAACCCCTCACACACACACACGACCCCTCACACACACGACCCCTCACACACACGACCCCCAGGCTCTATTAACCCCTCACACACACGACCCCTCACACACACGACCCCTCACACACACGACCCCTCACACACACGACCCCTCACATACACGACCCCTCACACACACGACCCCTCACACACACGACCCCCAGGCTCTAATGACCCCTCACAAACACGACCCCTCACACACACGACCCCTCACACACACGACCCCTCACACACACGACCCCTCACACACACGACCCCCAGGCTCTAATGACCCCTCACAAACACGACCCCTCACACACACGACCCCTCACACACACGACCCCTCACACACACGACCCCTCACACACACGACCCCCAGGCTCTAATGACCCCTCACACACACGACCCCTCACACACAAGACCCCTCACACACACGACCCCCAGGCTCTAATGACCCCTCACACACACGACCCCTCACACACACGACCCCCAGGCTCTAATGACCCCTCACACACACGACCCCCAGGCTCTAATGACCCCTCACACACACGACCCCTCACACACACGACCCCTCACACACACGACCCCCAGGCTCTAATGACCCCTCACACACACGACCCCCAGGCTCTAATGACCCCTCACACACACGACCCCTCACACACACGACCCCTCACACACACGACCCCCAGGCTCTAATGACCCCTCACACACACGACCCCCAGGCTCTATTAACCCCTCACACACACACACGACCTCTCACACACACGACCCCTCACACACACGACCCCCAGGCTCTATTAACCCCTCACACACACACACGACCCCTCACACACACGACCCCTCACACACACGACCCCCAGGCTCTATTAACCCCTCACACACACGACCCCTCACACACACGACCCCTCACACACACGACCCCTCACAAACACGACCCCTCACATACACGACCCCTCACACACACGACCCCTCACACACACGACCCCCAGGCTCTAATGACCCCTCACAAACACGACCCCTCACACACACGACCCCTCACACACACGACCCCTCACACACACGACCCCTCACACACACGACCCCCAGGCTCTAATGACCCCTCACACACACGACCCCTCACACACACGACCCCCAGGCTCTAATGACCCCTCACACACACGACCCCCAGGCTCTATTAACCCCTCACACACACACACGACTTCTCACACACACGACCCCTCACACACACGACCCCCAGGCTCTATTAACCCCTCACACACACACACGACCCCTCACACACACGACCCCTCACACACACGACCCCCAGGCTCTATTAACCCCTCACACACACGACCCCTCACACACACGACCCCTCACACACACGACCCCTCACAAACACGACCCCTCACATACACGACCCCTCACACACACGACCCCTCACACACACGACCCCCAGGCTCTAATGACCCCTCACAAACACGACCCCTCACACACACGACCCCTCACACACACGACCCCTCACACACACGACCCCTCACACACACGACCCCCAGGCTCTAATGACCCCTCACACACACGACCCCTCACACACACGACCCCCAGGCTCTAATGACCCCTCACACACACGACTCCTCACACACACGACTCCTCACACACACGACCCCCAGGCTCTAATGACCCCTCACACACACGACCCCTCACACACACGACCCCTCACACACACGACCCCCAGGCTCTAATAACCCCTAACACACACGACCCCTCACACACACGACCCCTCACACACACGATCCCTCACACACACGATCCCTCACACACACGATCCCTCCCACACACGACCCCTCATACACACGACCCCCGGGCTTACCTCGACTCCCCCGTACTGACTAAAGAGGTGGAGGTAGTCCGACATGTTGAGCGCCTCCAGCCAATGATCGAGGGCGATGTGACGTCCCGACATCCTCTTCTTCCTCCGGTAGTCGGAGTCCAACACCTGCCTGTGGGACACAAAATGTCACGTGGTTACATCTAATTATAGACTTGTCATGTGGATGCCATTAAAGACATGTGTGGGCCACAAACAAAATGTCACGTGGTTACATCTAATTATAGACTTGTCATGTAGATGCCATTAAAGACATGTTGTGGGCCACAAACAAAATGTCACGTTATCTACAAAATGTGGGAAACATGTCATGTATTTCTTCTATTTATACTATCATAGCAATAGATGTTTCGACATCAGGTCTTCGTATGAAAAAACAATAATGAATTGTTAGTATTTTGTAATGTGTGTTCTTAGTGATGTGGTTTGATTGTGAAAACCCCCAGTGTACAATGTACACCGTGTGTACACTGTACAGTTTATTGTGGTTTTTATAGAAGTAGTGACGTCATCTCACAGTATGGGGTTAGTTTAGGAATGCTTACGTCATATCCGGCCATAAGCATGAAACACTAGATCTAGACAGTGTCTTTAGAATCTTTGGTTTCCGGGTCTAGTTTAGTTTAGAGTCTGATTCAATCCAGGATATGATTAAGGTCATGGACTAATTAATCAGTTTCTGATCGAGGCAAGGACTTAATTTAAGGTCATGGCTTAATTAAACCCATCAGAGCAGGGTGGACTCAGGTACGTTTTGGGTTAGAAGTCGACCGCTAGGCCGTTCAGTCCTGTGTGATAAGTTGAACATATTTGGCACAGTTTTTAAAACATAGTATACTGTATGTGGGTAATACAACAGTATATGTAGGTACTACAACAGTATAAGTTGGTATTATAAAAGAGTTTTGAAAATAAAGAGGCATTATCGCATCGTATAGGCGGATTTCTTTGCCAGTATTTCTGTTAGGATTAGAGTTAGGATTTGCGTTAGAATTAGGGTTAGGATTAGGAATAGGGTTAAAGCCACATTCAGCATCAGATTAAGGGGTAAAGCTAAGTTTGCAAAAACGGCCTGGTTTACGGAAGCTGAAGTAGCAAAAAGAAAAATCTTTAATACGACCAGCAGACGCACCAACTTGTATTGACAGTGTATGAAGACCAAGTTAACAGAAGAAGTGTTCAATAAAAGGTGACGTTTGGTAGAAGACATAGTATCATAACAAATTGAGTGCAACAACCTACCTGAGGAGGTCACGGTACGGGAACGAATCAAATTTGGAGCCTGGGGCAATCATTGTTTTTTGTTTGACACACCTGAAGTCAACTTAGACAAAAACATCCATCGCCAGGCTAACTTCTGACAACCATTTCATCCAGAGGCTAAAGTCTGCCAACCATTACATCCATAGGCTAAAGTCTGCCAACCATTTCATCCATAGGCTCAAAGTTGTCAACCATTACATCCATAGGCTAAAGTCTGCCAACCATTTCATCCATAGGCTCAAAGTTGTCAACCATTTCATCCACAAAATCAGACTTGCCAACCATTTCATCCATAGCTCAAAGTTGTCAACCATTTCATCCACAAAATCAGACTTGCCAACCCATTACGACTACGGGCTAAAGTTTTCAATCATTCCAATTACGGACACACATTCGTTATTGAAATCTGAGTTTTGTTCACATGTTCAACTTTCACTATGTACCTCTGTAATCAATTTTTTTTTAAAACATGAAACTAACATAGATGCACGACTTTATAACGATTTGCTGTCAATAGTGTTAAAAATTCTAAAGTAAACAAAAATGTTTAGATCGTTATTTTGTTAAGCTAACACGAGTTTGGCGTAAAAAAATAAAATAAAAAACTTTTCAGGAAGTGGTCGACTAAAGTTCAGGCATTTTGCCAAAGTTGTCAGTTTAATAAAAAAAAAGGAAAGTGCTGTTTGATCAATTCGCCATCTGTACCCCCCCCCCCAACTTATAAAAACTCAAGCTGATACTAAATGTATATTAGTGTCTAGCGCGAAGGGGAGCCAAAGGGTTAAATCAACTTTAAAAAAATGCTACTATACTACACCAGATTTGATCAAGTACTTGGTTTTTCTAAACTTGTACTGCGCATGCGTGTAGTTGGGCAGGAACTAAAATCTATTACCCAGCAGCAGGGAAGCTAACTCTGCCTCGCGTTAAATATTTCTTACATCACGGTTAGATTAAGGGGAGTTAAGAATGAAATAGTGCTGATAAAAAGATGATTTATAACAAAAGCCGAGAGAGCGAGTCAGGTCACGGGTTAGATATTGTTTCATTTCTGCTTATAATGTTTTTTTTCCAGATAGATCTTCATGTAGCCCTTGTATTTTTCCTAAAATTCAAGTTTTTCAAAAACACATTTTCTACTCAAAACAGTATTGTTAGAAACTCGTGGAAATTTCCGATTATCATTGCGAATTTAAATCTGGCCTAATAAAACAATGGTATACAATTGTTCCCCGAACTTATCAGTAATGTACATGGCCAGATTTCTTACAAACTCTCTTGCTTATCTCAGGTGATTGCTCGACTCCAAACGCCAATTTGGCAAACATTTTCGTCGAAACAGCTAAAATTGGAAACATTCTGAGATTAGACCAGATTTTTGTTTTATCTATTACATTTTGTAAGATCTTAACGCACTCGATTCCACTAAGAAAACAAACAACTAAAAAATTCAACGATCGGGCCTATCGAGATTCTTCAAGGAGGTTCGCTAGTGCGAATATTTTTTGTTGTTACATTAACAAAATATGACTTTACAACATTCATTAAACAACATTGCAACCCTTCCGAATTTAGAATATTGGATACATCTGCCGATTCACTTTTTATTTTATTCGAAAAATAGATTGAGCTATTTTTGGTCACATAATTTTGTAATCGGTAGTTCAAGCACAAGTCAGATGGTAAACTACACCATCACACCCACTCGGAAGCCACCTCAGGTTGTAGCCCCACCCCCCTCCAATCCCCCCACCCCCGTTAAAAAATATTTAAAAATAGAAAATGTGCCATTTGTTTACTCTACCTTTCCCAATATTACATGTGGCAATTTTACAGACGAGCATAGAGCACAGGGTCACATTCTTAAAACACCTTTTTCGAAGTCTAACCCCTTCCCCCCTTTTCAACAATTTAGCCACTTTCAGTTTACTTATCTTCAATACCTTTACTTCAAGTATTAGCTAGATCATATATAGTAGAAGTAGCATTATACGTGATGCAGTTTTTTACGCGTGGGTTAGATTAAATACATTATTAAAAATCTTGAAAAGTGAATTTAGTCATATGAGTGTCGCTGGTTTCCAAGTCTGTCATGAATAAAAAAATAAATTAAATTGGTATCAGGAATGTGCAACACGTGCTTTAAGCATACTGGTGGGGGAGGGGGGGGGGTCGATTTAATCAGCACTTCAGCGCTCGTGCCGTGGGGAGAGGGAAGGCGCATGTTGAGATATTTTTTAATGAGATCAGGAAAATTAAAATAGTAACCCAACCACCTGGTTTGGTTAGGAGATGCAGAGTTTTTTCTTTTATCTCTAGTCATCTTCAACTTAATGCCTCACCGTGTCCTACACGCCTAGAGTGAGCAACTTAAATTTCTTCAGATATAAAAATCATCAACATGCCTGCGTGCTACCTCTATAAGGTAAATTAAACATTCAGTATACACACTAATAATTTTTATTATTTATTTATTTATTTATTTTGTGTAGGGCCTACACATTTTTTTTTTTATTTTTTTTTTTTTAATTTTTTTTTCGGATAAAGAAATGCTTTTTATTCATTTTTGCAATTACATTTTAAAACTTGGAATAGAAATTATAATAGAGAATTGCAAACCAAATGAACGTATAATAGAATCGAGTACAAAAGGTAAAAGCGCACCAAATGACCTAAACAATGTGAGCATAATATTGCGAAAAATTAGAACGTTATAAACAAACTATAATTAATGTTTTTAAAATAATTTAAAATCTAATTAAGTCACATTTTATGTCATCTTGTCTTGTCTACACATTAATAAATTAAATCTAAAGCAGTGATTTGTAACTTTGGCCCAGTAATTATTAAGCAACTTATTAAGGTAATGAAATTCTTGACATTTAAAAGCTTTATGGTTAAAACAATAATTTAAAATATAATTTTTTTAAACAAAAATAAATATAATCAGTGTTAGGATTTAATTTAAAACAAATATTAAAATAGTTAAGTTTTTAAAAGAAATTTAAAGTCAGCAGATCTATATCCACCTTTTGAACTTTTGACGATGCTTAAAAAAAAATTCTAAATCGATACAAGCCCTTGGCTTCATTGCCTAGCATGATTATTTCCCTTGTTAAACTAGTTTAACTGTAACGAAATTGCATTTTTGGTGCTATTTTGTTATATTTTTTTTTACACAGATCGTTAAATTTTAGCGTGTAAGTTTGAGAAGTTCAGCTGTTTAAAACTGATCGGTAACGACAACTTTGGATAAACACCATATATCGGTGACAACTTTGGCTAAACACCATATATCGGTGAGAGTCGCGTATGGCTGACGGCAACAATAACAGAAATAAACAATACACAGTTTATAAAAAAGTCATCCGGAGAATCTATCCCACTCATCAACGAAACAAACCAAATGCACGCAAGCAAAGACCTGCAGCTGCAGAGAAGAAAGGAAATGTCATCGAGTAATGAGCCAATTTCACATTCAGGCAGGGGACTTCACACGGTGGGACGGGGGTCGCTGGTGTTGGGGCGGCGACCCTCAGTTTTGTGTGGGTGGGTCTTGTTGTGTATGTGGGGGGGGGGGGTCTTGTTGTGTATGTGTGTGGGTCTTGTTGTTTATGTGTGTGGGTCTTGTTGTGTATGTGTGGGTGGGTCTTGTGTGTGGGGGTGGGTCTTGTGTATATGTGTGGGTCTTGTTGTGTATGTGTGTGGGCCTTGTTGTGTATGTGTGTGAGTCTTGTTGTGTATGTGTGTGAGTCTTGTTGTGTATGTGGGGGGGGGGGGGTCTTGTTGTGTATGTGGGGGGGGGGGGTCTTGTTGTGTATGTGGAGGGTCTTGTTGTTTATGTGTGTG